CACACTCTTATCTTTTGTCTTAGGGGTTTGCTAAATGGTCCTGATTTGCCAAGGGGACTTCAGGCAATAGGAACTGTGGAGATCGGCTGAATTTGCCCGGTAAAAATTCCGTTAAGATCTGCCACTAAGGGGCCCCTGCACAGGACTTAATAGTATATAACATTATAGTATATGATAAGGTAGTTATAAAGTACATATATATTGTGTTATATATTTATATATATATGTATATTTTGGACACCCTATATGTGATGATATAGTAGTATTATTCCTGGACTTTCCAACCCTACGAAAGGATAACACCTTGTCATCTACAGAAACCGGACTCTTGTCGGCGGGACGGCCTTGCCGAGTATGATTCTTTATCCCGCCCCGTTTATCCCGCACCTCGGCCCTTTTAACTTGTCTTCGATGCCGGGATAACTTCGGGCGTAAGTGTAGAGAAGCGTGAACTTGTGCCACAGACCTCTGATAAGGGAAATAGAATAAAAATAGGCATATATTAATTACTTTGGGAACCGGGGCCCCAGACCCCGGCTATTACTTTTAGATTCAAGATTCAGCCAAGAAAAACGAAATCTACACCCCCCGGTCATTTTTCTATACTTGGGACATCTTGGCAGGTCGGGGGACTGTCTTGTTACGCAAGGAATGCAGCCTGGTCATTGTACAGGGGGCTGACACACTGGCATCTCTGGGTTTCCTTCGAGATACGCGGCTTTGCGGCTGCATGATACTTGCATCAGGGCTATCAATAATTGAGTGATCCGCGCCTATCAGCAGTGTTGGTTCAGTTTATCGTACGACAATCAACTAGGGAGGCCCTGTTAAAATAAAGAGAAAATATTTTAAAAAAAAGATAAAATCCTATCTTAACCCCCGGAATCCGGGGGATTGTCGGGGAAGCTGAGAGGATCCTAATACCTATTTTTTTTTTTAGTTATACGCCATAGGGTTCGGAAGGCATGATTCCTTCGGATGATAAAGCCGCAGCTGAATAGGGCAATTTGGGTCATTCGTACCTTTTGTGCCTTTCGCGTGACTAAATGATTACTCTAAAATTTCAACGGATATTTTCACCTCAGGTGTCGACATCATCGATGATCCTCGCTATCGTCACTCCGTGACAGGATCAGATGGTCCAGGATCTCCATTGTACATGGGTCTGGACTGGTCCGGCCGAGAATCACCGTAACCCCCAGACTTTTTGCCGAGTTTTAAGGGTATCTCAAAGTTATACGGAGTATACGGAGGATGTACGGAGTACTCCGTACATATATGCCTACATATGTACATATGTACATATCAAAATGTTATAAATCTTTATAAAGGGAGATCCCCAGATCCTGCTCGTCATTGGGTCTCCGCATGTCATCATTTTTTTATTACTCTTTTGTCTGAGATAGGCTAAAGTATGGGGGGGGGGAAGATATCAGAAGCCAGTAGAAAATGCCAAATTCCCCATGTTCTCTGATAAGAAATTGACCAGAGGCGCGATAGCCGGATAGGGACACGCACCTCACGCCACACGGTTCTTCAGGAAAAATGCGAGTCTCCACATTTTTGCTTAATGCGGTTACGTAGTCGTCGACTTGAATTGATTTTCTGTTTTATTTGACTTGTACTTTGTATATACTATATGTTTGATGGACAGCTATTTTGTAATATTCAATTCTATATATATATGTGGTAACTATATACTAAAAGGTTGATCATTATATACCCCCACTCGAGTAAGGGTAAAGGGTATTTCCTGGGCATTTTCTTTTTTTTTTTTTTTTTTTTTTTTTTTTCCTTTTTCGAATTTTTCGAATTTTCAATTTTTTCCAAATTTCCCCTTTTGGAATATATATTTTTTAATCTTTTACTCAAATTTTTCCCACTTTTCCTCTTTTGCCCCAGTTGTCCCCTTCTTCTCCCCCACACTCTGTCTTTTCCAACATTGAGAATCATCCTCTTTTTTTTATATTTTATTTTATATTTTATTTTTAATTTTTCACAAATTTAATTCTTTTTTCAATTTCGATTTTTTGCTTTTTGCCTTGAATTTTCAGAATTTTCTTTTCTCCAAGTCCGATTCCGACACTGCCCCTTCTCCCCGATTTCTCCCTTCCCCCTCCATTCCATATATTATTTGTAACTCCCCAGATCGTCATCTCCAGGTTCCTTTTTTCCTTTCCTCTTGCTTTTGTCTCCCCACAAACCCTACTCGACTACCTTTACAAGCTATCAGCATTCTGTGCGCATCGTTCCGATCCCGATCGACCTTCCATCCTAACTCGGTGTTTGATCGACCTTAGCTTGGGACCCCTGCGATAAAAACCGTCCTCGGTCCCCCCTTCAGAACAATCCTTCATAAATTCGCCCCCTGGGAATTCACATGCCACCGCCGGCTTCTTCAGTGGGATTTTCAAATCTACTTAACCCTCACGAATCCTCGCCTGACTCGGCACCCTCGACCCCAGGAGATTCTTCAATGGCTTCTTCAGTTAGCCTATTACCGCCCCTCATGAAGGGTGCGCGTCCCGCGACCGAGGAGGTCCGCCAGGATCTTCCCCGGCCTTACAAGTGCCCTCTTTGCGACCGGGCCTTCCACCGCTTGGAACACCAGACTAGGCACATCCGCACGCACACTGGTGAGAAGCCACACGCCTGCCAGTTCCCCGGTTGCACAAAGCGCTTCAGTCGATCAGACGAACTTACGCGCCACTCGCGAATCCACAACAACCCCAACTCTCGCCGCAGCAACAAGGCTCAGCACCTGGCAGCGGCTGCGGCCGCAGCAGGACAGGACAGTGGCATGGTCAATGCTGCCAACATGATGCCCCCTCCCAGCAAGCCTATCACCCGCTCTGCTCCAGTCTCGCAGGTTGGATCTCCGGATGTTTCGCCTCCTCACTCCTTCTCCAACTACGCCAACCACATGCGCTCAAATTTGGGTCCTTACTCGCGCACTAATGAGCGGGCTTCTTCCGGAATGGACATTAACCTTCTGGCTACAGCTGCGTCGCAAGTAGAGCGCGACGATCACATGGGCTTCCACGGATCCCGTGGACACCAAATGTTCGGCTCCCGTCATCACGGAACTAGCCGTGGACTCCCTTCGCTTTCCGCGTATGCCATTTCCCAGAACATGACCCGTTCGCATTCCAACGATGACGACGACGGATATGGCCACCGTGTCAAGCGTTCTCGTCCTAACTCCCCCAACTCCACTGCTCCTTCTTCTCCTACTTTCTCTCACGATTCTTTGTCCCCTACTCCCGACCACACTCCCTTGGCCACCCCCGCACACTCGCCTCGTCTGCGTCCTCTCGGCGCTAGCGAGTTGCACCTGCCTTCGATTCGCCACTTGTCCCTCCAGCACACCCCTGCCTTGGCACCTATGGAGCCGCAACCAGAAGGTCCCAATTATTACAGCCCGAACCAGGGTCATATGGGCCCAACCATTTCCGACATCATGTCCAAACCCGATGGCACGCAGCGCAAGTTGCCCGTACCTCAGATTCCCAAGGTTGCGGTGCAGGACATGCTCAATCCTCCGACCGGGTTTTCATCCATGAACTCGTCAGCTAGCAATTCGGTTGCTGGCGGCGACTTGGCAGACCGGTTCTAACTCTTCTCTTCTTTGCAACCTCTTTATGCCTGGAAAACTTATGTTATGCGCGCTACGAAACGATATAGACTTGGGCATTTTTTTTACTATGGCTTGCGGGCATCAACGGTGTCGGATTGGTTTTGATTTTTTTTCTTTCTCTGGCGCTTTCCACCAAATAGACGGATTGGGATCTCTTTTTTTTTTAACCTTTGGCTGTTCACTCTCCTGTCTGGAGACCTTTCCTTTTTTTTCAACTTCGAGTTCAAAATTCCGCGTCGAAAGACCTGCTTCTACTTTTTTATGTCATTCTCCTCTCTTGAGGCCTGTGGTCTCAATTCACTTCTGATCAATCCTTTATTTCTCTTCTCTCACTTAATTCCTCACACTGTGAGCAAAATCAAGAACTTTCACTAAATTCTTTTTTTTTTTCCTATGTACTTCGTATATTGGAGATCTTAGATCGATTTGCATGTGATATCTCCCCCGCAATTCTGTACATTGCACTTGTGGCCTTGCTTTCGCCATACAGTCAACTGGGTGCATCTATAAAATATATATATGTCATAATAAATACTTTCGTATTCTGTCTTTGAGATGTCGAATCTGAAACAATGTTACAACTTTATTCCACATCCAAGAATAGCATCAAAAAGATACATTCACATGTCAACAGTACTGCCAGTATACTGGCAGTATACTGCCTAACACATCTAGATTCTCATTGGGAAGAATCTAGCTGACGTAGATTTCTATTATTTATACACCAAGATATCTCGATTTTGTCATTTTTAATTAAAACTTGCTCCAAGTTCGTCATGTTTTTAATATGTATTTTTGCCATAACCACAAAGAAGAATATGGTAGAACTACTTACTCCCTCTATATCCGACGAAAACTGTCCTGCAGACAAGACCGTATGATCCCTGACTATGTCCATGCGCGTGCCCGTGCATTGTATTCCAGACCTGCATCCTCTCAAAGGGATCCTTTTAAAAAGAACAAAATTCTGTTATAAGGATATCAGTATAACACAAGCACCAAAACCACCCCGCCCTAAGATTTAGAGCGAAAAATTCCAATCAGCACCCCCACTTTAGCCTTTTCAGGCATTCCTAGACGGTAGAGCCTTAACATCCTACAAAACGGCCTATAGATGTCATGCATGCTGACAAAAGCGCAGATCTGAAGGTGTGCTGTTGATCTGATATCGGGTCTCTAGGCTGTATGTATTTTTTTCCCCCCGTTCTATCCCGTTCCCCTCTTCCGTATTACTTCTCATCTTTTCCCTCCCTCTTATACCTATACCTCTACTATTGCTATGTAACCCCGCCGAGCAACCCGACTCTGACGCGATCCAGCCGTACCCATCCCGCGCAATAGACCATATTTTGCACTGCGGAGCATGTCGGAGCGCAAGCCCACAAGCCCCGATGACCCTCGTCGAGGCGACTTCGATCCGCCTTTCGTTTCACGCTCGAATAGAGACCGGCATAGAGACCGAGATCATCGCCGATCATCTTCTGCCCGCAGCGTCAGTATCAGCGTGAGTTCGACCGCCAGCAACAGCACCGCTTCAAGTAGGAACCCCGCTCTGTCGCAAAAGCAGCCCAACAAGAAAAAGCAACCGAGCGTCGTCGTCTCCGCCATGTCGTCTTCGCCCGCTATGCCCGACTTGTCTAGCGCATCGCCCTCGTCAATATCATCAGTGGATACTAGGTCTGGAACTGGCGTTGAATCCACACATGGAGATGGCACCACAGATGGCATCTACGTTCTTGGCGACATGCCACCGTTAATCACCACCGACAGCGTCCCAGAGCCCGCTCTATCGCGCGCATCGCTCTCGTCCTGGGACACACCTGCAGTAGCCTCTATATCCTCCGCGACGCCCTCAATACCCATATCTCTAACAGCTAGCACTGAGCAGCGCACATACGCATGTCTCTTCTATATGCTGGACTGTCACGAGTCCTTCGATGATGGCGCGGAGTGGCGCACCCACGTCTTCAGCCACTTTCGTTCCCACCCAACCCCACCATCAGCGCGGTGTCCGCTGTGCCCGAATACAAAGTTTGTCGATGGCGTCTCGGAACCCGTGTCATCGCCTGTTCCTGAGGACGCTGAGTCGGCCCACACTAACGACGAGGCTGTTGGAGCCCCACTGAGTGACTCCCCCTCTGCATGGGATCGTATGCTCGACCATGTCGCTGCCGATCACTACTGTCTTGGCCAGACGCTTGCTGGTAGTCGGCCGGACTTTGAGCTTATGCGGTATCTTTATGGGATGCGGGTTATCACCGATGCGCAGTTTAAGGCTATGCAGTTGCCGCCTGCGCCGTCGAGTCCGGCTTATCATCGCTCGCAGGATGGTATTAGGGCTAGTATTGGCTCTGCTGATGAGCCATACTGTGCGCCATATAGTAAGAGACGGGAGGAAAGGATGAGGGGCCAACAGAGGGGTGTCGGGGTTTTGTAGATATAGACACTCCCTGTTGGCTTCTCGATGTTTTGGTCTTTGGTTTTTTTCTTCTTTTTTTTTTTTTTCTTGGATATTCCCCCTTTCGCTTGTGTATAGCATGTACTTTTCTTGAGCGCTTTAAAAATGCAAGCGTATTTCCCCCTCCATAGAGTATGTAGAAAAAGATATCAAAAACCAAAATGTATAGATCAACCCGAGCAAACAAGACAAACTCACCGCCCTTGATGACGGCCTTTGCGACCTCGATCCTCCATTGCGATGACCCAAAAGAAATAGAATGAGAACCTCCACATCAATTTCCTAAATCTCTCTTGCATCAGCGCCCTCCAATCCCCTCCTCCTCCCCACCGCTTTCCGATTTTCTCCCCGCCTTTTCAACAACCACAGACATCACACCATGGAGCGCCTATCGTTAAACGAAAGCCCTGCCCCGGCCCCTCGAACCCCGCAGCAAAATCAACAATTCTCCCAGAATGCCCTTGGCCCAGCAGGCCCCCAGCCTACCGGCGGCCCACCGCAATTACCCCCGCAGATGTTCACGACCGCCGCACAGCTGCTTGATCTAACAGATAGTATGTCCACCTAGATGCGGAGTCAAACCGATCCAATAGGAGAAACAATGGAAGCGGTAGAGAAGAACATAGCTAATGCAATCACAGAGAAACTTGTCCTCATCCTGCGCGACGGCCGCAAACTCATCGGCGTCCTTCGAAGCTGGGATCAGTTCGGTATGCCAGTCGCACATACCCAAATGATATCTTGCCCTTTTATCTGACATTCAAACCTCGCAGCAAACCTTGTTTTCCAGGATACTATGGAGCGCATCTACGCTGGAAACTTGTACGCCGATGTCTCGCGCGGTATCTTCATTGTTCGCGGAGAGAATGTGCTCCTACTAGGCGAAGTGGTACGATCAACTCCTCAACTCCTCAATTCCCAATCCCCCAATCCCCTACTACAAGGTTTATGGAAGTTACAAGATATCCCGGCAAGGAACTCCGCTAACGAATTCTCAATTGATTTGCAGGACCTTGACCGCGAAGACGATATCCCGCCCAACCTTACCCGAGCCCCATTCGAAGAAGTCTTCGCGCTGAAGAAGAAAGAAGAATCGAAGCGGAAAACAGGCGATAAGAAGCGCTACGATGAGCTGCAAGCGCTCGGTTTCGAGCCAGAGCACAGCGGCGAGATCCTGTTCTAGGTATTATCATCAATTATATGTGTTTGGTCTGTTGGGGTCAGTTACTAGACCAGACTCTGGTCTGTGGACTATGGCTTGCTCTATTTCCCGGGATTCGGGTATTCGATATTCTTGATACCTGCATTGAAGACCGAGTGGCTGAAAAGGAACGAAAGGGCGTCAGGATATAACCGGTCGATAATCACCCGATGAGCGACGGTGTCGATTTTTCTGCGCCGTGGCGGATTGTGATTGTTTGAATTGCATCGGCGATGGAGTTCTGGCTGGATTCGGATGCTCCATGGAACGGTGGGCTACTATTGTCTGCTTTATACTGTGAGAAAGCTGTCGACGCTGTGGATTTGATGGATGCGATGCCGTCTGGTCTGGAGGTCGGGGGCTTTTTGTTATTTGTTCCTTTGTGTCTCACTCTACATCTACTTCTTTTGGCTCGTGATGGGGGCTGTGGGAAATGCTGCTGAGCTGCCTGGTTGGCTGGCTCGCGTTCATGAAGTTCTGATTGATATGTTCGATACACTTTTTTTTGTGCATGATAACCTGCTTTGCAAATGAGAATATGATAAAAGTCACACTGCATTTGGGATTTTCTGTATTTAGCTGTAGCTGAAGTGTATTCTAGTAGTATTTCTGAGCGCCATAGGACATTTACTCGATAATTAGCCTATCGGATATAAGTGCGATGCAGTAAGACTGAATGCTGTTAAATACAAAAGACTGTCTCTTTAAGTAACACAGCATATAGGCTACATGTACACACATCCTATACCAAATAAATGAAGCAATATCTATGTCCATTGACCTAAGAGAAACTTTTGAACAGAATCGTAATCATATCATGAAAAACACGGAGTCCAATAACTCTGCATCGAACAGAAAAAAAGCCCAGAGTCAACGGAAACACCACAGCGGAGGGTATTATGAGAATCGTCAACACTAACCAAGCACGACAGGGACCGAAGACCAGATGGCAGAGACAAAACATGGAACAATAAATTAAAAAAAAAAAAAACAGGGAACTCAGAACGATAACTCCAGGATCTGCTAGATGCTACCCTCTTCTCTTTCCACCTACAGGACCCAAGCCCGGCAGACAAGGCGAAAAAGAGATTTGACTTACTTATTGTAAAGTAAATAGTTTATCTCTTCTTGCCCCATCCCGAGCGGTTACCACCCCGAGGAGCGTTACCTGGATTGCGACGCTTCTCAACGCGACCACTACCAGACGCACCGGAAGTCTTGGGTGCACCAAGACCACGACGGGTAGAGCTCTGACCGGATCCAGAAGCGCGCAGATCCTTCTTCAGGTCGTCCTCGTCGACATCCATGCTATCGCCAGCATTCTTCTTGGACGACTGGCCCATCTTAACCTTACCTCTCTGGCCACGACGGACAGCGTCGGGTCCACTGACAGCAGCGAGGTAGGCGTTCACGCCACCGTCGCCAGCACCAGACATCTCGACATCTTCAGCGACGACATCGCCATCATCGCCGAGGACAAGACGGCCGTCAGCGTCGACCTTGGCGGCGCGCTTCTTCTTTGAGCCGGGGCCTGTGTTGAGGAAGCGCTGGCTGGGCTTGGTAGTGGAGATGCTGGCCAGAGCGTTGGAGCCGAGCAGATCGAGAGGATTGTCTTCGGGTGACATCTCGCGAATGTACTGGGTGCTCTGTCCTGCCTTTTTCTTGGAGCTGCGACCCTTGATCTGGGCGACGTTGTCGACATCAATATCGCTGTCGCCATCATCCGAGTTGTCGGAGGAGTCGGAGTCAGAGCCGTACACGGCCTTGTCAAAGGCGTTTCCAGCCTGAGGCTTAGAAGCCTTCTCCTCCTCATCATCGTCTTCACCTTCAGCACCCTCCTTCTTCTTGCGCTTGCTGCGCTCACGGGCTTTGCGAATATTGACAATGAGCTTGCGGTCTTCCTCGCCGACGATAGCCTCCAGGAGGGGAGCACCGAATCGGCGCACAAGTCGGTCGATGATGCCCTTCACCTTGCTACGGAGACGGCCCTTGTGCTCCTTGTTCCAAGCCATAAGGCTGGGAACCATGGTGTTCAGGCGGGGGCGCAGTGCTTCGTCGGGGAGGACGACGACTGCAACCTTGACGAAGCCAAGGACAGAGCGGACAATCTCACGGTTGTTGGAAGTGAGGAAGAGCTCGACGGTCTCAACAAGTTCCTTGAGCATCTCAGGCTGAAGCTGTTTCTGGAAGTCGAAGAACAGACGCGAAAGCGCGGTGACGGTGGCTCCCACCATGTGAGGAGCCGAGCCAGCGAGACCGGCTGAGACCATTGTGAAGAACTCCTCGAGGGTAGCAGGGGCATCGGGGGAATCATCTGCCACACCTGGAACAAGAGAACGGCGGATGACAGTGCCGGGAGGGTTGCGCTCTGAATCTGTTGTGCGCTTGGCCAAGAGAATCAGCAGGTCAAAGGCCGCTGTGCGGGCCTTCTCATTGCTCTCTTTGCAGCCCAGAACCACCTCAGACAGGATTGCAGGGATGAAGTGCAGGTCCGAGGTGGGGAGGTGGTTGATAATCTCGGTGATAGCGAGCATACGGTCGCGGCGGCCAGAAGCAGGAGTGGTATCGGTGGTGGCAAGCATGAGAGCCTGCAACTCTCCACTACGCTCCTGGAGGGCGGCGCGGCCAGTCTCGGTCGTTCCAAGTCGGGGAATCAACTTGTAGGCCTTCTTGATGAGTTGCTGATCCGGGTGGGGGGACGAGCTGTTGAGGATAGCTGCCGCCATGGCAAACAAGCCACCGAAGCTGGAGCGAGGGAGATAGATTGACATAGCAATAACGAGGTCAATCAGGGTGTGGGAAGTCGGTGGCATCTTGTCGGATGAGCCCTGAGACTGAGCACTCTGCTTGGTTGCTGTCTCTTGCTCGGTAGCCAAAGAAGACTCGAGCATTGAAGTAACGCGGTTGAAAGTGTCGTTCAGTTCCTATTGAGGGTGTTAGTCCGTTAAGATTTTTATACGAGACTGAAGGGGAAACTCACGTTTTCAGGGGTAATGCTCAAGTAGGCATTAATGCACTGTAGAATGTAGCCACGGTAGTGGGGAAGGGTCTGGCTGTAGACGTTGAACAACACAGCCAGCAGGTTGCTCGCAAGACCGCCGAGATGAGCGAGGTTCTTCTTAGCAGCGGCCTTGGTGATGCGGCGTTGCAAGATCAGATCATCCTCATCGTTTTCGACCTCCAAGATAGCTTGGTTAGACTCAACCAGGTTCTGCAAAGCACGGCAGACATCAACTCGCAACTCGGTTTGCTTGTAAAGAACGTTAGACAGCAGCTCAGCGAATGACTGGTCGAATGCCTCCACAAGATCGAGCGGCAGCTCGCAGTAGCCGGGAAGGGTACCCCAGGTCTGTTGGACGAGGGTTTCGAAAATCTTCACTTCCACGGACTTCTCAGCGGCACCGAAGTCAACCACCTTCTGGTAAAGTGCCTCACTCAGGGGAACGAGTTCGGTACGGAAGTGGCGGAGGTTCGTGTTGGTCACGCTATCGCGCATAATGGGTAGCATCCAGACACGACCGGGTTGACCAGCCTTCTGTTCGATAATGTTGAGGGGAAGAATCTCCAATACTGCCTCGGGACCCATTGCCTCGATGGCACTAGCAAGAACGGCATCGGCTTCCTTCTTGCCGTGGAAACCGCCATTGCTGCGCAGTTCACCAATTGTGGAGACAATCTTGACAAGATACGGGGTTGACCGCCACTTGAAGCAATCGAACAGGGCAGAGCAAACGTTGAAAACTTCTTTCCAAGCAGCCTGGTACTTCACCGACAGAAGGTCAACGGCTGCACGAGCCAACTTCTCCAAGGTCTTCTCATCATACACAGATGGGTCCACAATAACAGAGTTGGGGATACAGTTGTGCAGGAACGAAATCAGACATTCAGATGCGGAAACGCGAATGTTGCTGGAAGGCGAAGCCAGGAATCCAGAAATCAAGGTGAAGAGATCCGGCAACTTCTCGAAAGTATCTTCGGGAGTGATCTGCGCGGCAACATCATAACCGCGCGAGAGCACTGCAATCCAAGGGGGCAGAAGCTGGGAGTCATTCTGCGCAGGCTTGAGTTCGGAAATAGCATCCAAAAGACGGGGCAGCTTCGAAGACGAGAACTCATCAGCCATTCCTTCGAAAATGACCTCGAATACCTCGAAAGCACCCATAGTGATGTACTCGTTGGTGGAGCGAGAAGCGTTCATAAGAAGTTCGCTGAGCGGTTCGATCTTCTTGCTGGGCCAGCCACCTGATGCTGAGGCAATGGTCTTGATTAACTGCAACGAGTGAATGATAAGGGGCTCGTGGTTGTTGGCCTGAGCATCGTGACGACCCTTCTTTTGCTTGTGAGCGGCTGTGATGCTATCGCCCAGAGTCTTCATTGCAGACTGAGCGCACATATCCGCACCTGGGTGGTCCAGAGACGGGCTCGGTGGGGGTGACTTGAGAACCTTGACAAGAGCCTCCTGGGCACGTTTCCGCACCTTGGGCCGGTGGTCAACTGAGAGACTCAGCAGACCTGCCATTGCGCGTCGTGGGCCGACCTGTGTGTGCGGGAGGTTCCATGATGCAGCATCCTGGGCAATGAGCAGAGACTCGAGACAACCAATTGAAGGACGCAGGAGCGGGGCTTCGACCTCGGGGAGAGAAAGCGCAGGTGCAAGGCCTTCGAGGATCTGAGAGAATTTGGCGCAAAGGATTGGGGCGGGAACGTAAACGGTTGTGATGTCGAGAAGGTAGACAACGGATGTCGCTAAATCCTTGTTGACAATGCCATGGGATGCGGACAGCGACTGCGAGAGCAGTGCAAGGAGAGCGGCAAAATATGCGGTAGGAGAGAAGTCTGCCTTTTGATCACGGAGAGTATCCTCGACTGCAGAGAGCACCACAGCAGTCTGTTCATGGATTAATGTTAGCGTCAATTGACCGTACATTCAGCGGGAAAACTTACGTGATGCTGGTTCTGCAGCTTGGGAGACTTAATCTTCTCAAGCTTCTCCGCCAGAGTCGCCATGATGATTGCCGACGACGAGGTGGAGAAGAGTCAAAGAAAGCAATGTATTGGGATGAGAAAGAGGGCTGTTTGGCGGTGATAAAAATCGTAAAGGAAAAAAAGTAAAGTCCGGCAAATTTAGAGGCGGTCAAGTAAGGCGGCGGGGCGATGCGCTGACTAAGACTGTTTTACATTCTCCAGGTGAATTTTTTCACTGTTGATAATTAGAAACTATTCTTTAAAAATATCAATTTCTTCTTGATAAACTATGTGTAAGTGGGAGCGAATAATTCTATGTGAATAGCATTTAGCCTGGTGGTGGTAGTTTCTGGTTGCTTTCTTGGTTCAATTCCTTCCTAGTTCCAACCCCATTTTATATCAATCATGTCTCACAAAATTCAAAGATCAGTAGTCGGTATTTGAGTAGAGTCTCTAAGATAGATTGTACAGGTCATCCTGATATTTTTACGAAGCTTTTGAGCGCATGGAAGGTTCCTATCCCAGATATGTAGTCCCGTGGACACGGAAGCCCTAAGATTACACTATTACCACTAGGAACCACCGAAATTATACGCAAAAAAATATGAAACAAATGAAACGAGACGAGTTAAAAATTGCATACTCCTTGCAATGAATGCTGCTTGAAAATTATCACAGCTGAGCCGCTTCAGCAATGATTGTCTCCCGCGCCGCCTTCTGGAAGCTCTCGCCATGCGGTTCCCATCCTAACAGCGTTCTTGCCCGCAAAGCTCGACCTTGACCATTGGTACCTAAAAACACAATTCCATGGGGTATTACTTCGTTGGCCTCGTCGAGATCCATGGATCGCACTGAATCAGGCGAATCAATGTAACCGAGGCTATGCCCCTCTTTGGCAATAACTAGAGCAATATCTTTGAAGCTCTAAAGGAAGAAAAGAAGGTCAGTGCGGATAATTTGGGACATATTAGGTCGTGAGCCAACCTCGAAACCATTTTCTGCAAAGAAAAGTCCATTCTCATTCCAGAGAGGACCGGGAGTGGCGTTGACAGCATGCTCCACCAATTTGACATAGAGATCAGCCAAATCAGAGACATGAACAATGCCCCATCGACTTAATCCTTTGCCAAGATATAGACCAGCATGTTGCAGCAGAGCGGCCCGGGCCAATGAGGGAACCTGGATGCTGCGTTGATTCACGGGGCCTCTACCAGTGCCAAATATGATAGGAGGGAAAATGATCGCAGTTTTGGGGCCATCTGCTTCCAAGTCGAGAATGTAGTTATCCACCACTCGACGATCTTTGTATGCCCGAATTATGTCCCGGAGATCACCGACGTTATCCAAATCATCAAAAATTTGATCTGAGGGCTCGCCATATGAGTTTTTATCAACCTCAGGGCCTGACAGGATGCTAACCCCGGTAACTTGAATATAGTATGCTGCAATTTTGCTTTAATTAGCAATCAAACCCGAAAGAAGACATTGCAGCAGTATATAACGTACCATCCTGACGTCCTGCCAGGCCACTTGCGATCGCTTTCACGCTTTCAAGATGCTTGTTACTAGCAGCATCTAAATGGAGGAAATTAATGATAGGTTATTCTACTAGATCGAATTGACCCACGGATGACGATATTGGCTTTGCGTGATTCTTCTTCAACAATTTCGACATCGTCTAGATCTGCAAGAACCACCCGTATCTTAGGAAATGCAGTCAAGACCTTACTGGCCTTTTCATTATCTCTGATCAAGGCGGCAATCTCATAGTCCGGATGGGCATGCTGCAAAGCGTGTAGGACTTCGCCCCCGATGTAGCCCGTGGCACCTGTACTGGAATTTGAGCCAGTTAGAAAATACATGAACCACGCACTGTCAAGAAATGGAAAGCCAGTTACAGGAAGATTTGAGTCATTTTTGAAATTGAGGTTGGAAATATTTCAAGTTGGACAAATATGAGGAGGTCCGGAGTTTAATATACATCCCCGCGTACCAGAATAGGAAAATGATCCCGCGCAGAGATTCTGCGGGGTCAACGACATATCTTGGGGCTATCACGACATGCTATTCTGTTTTTCGCTATAGTTCTTTTTCGTTTCGTTCTTTCCCTTCTAGCTAGAAGAGTGAAAATAATTCGTCTACGGCGTCGCCTACGGCGAAAACTGCAAAAATATATGACAATAGCTCATTTCACAGGAATTAACACGCTGGTCTACCTATTTAGGCAATTTCCATGAGTCGTGAGGGCTGCTCAGATGTAGCCGACTAAAAGCCTCAAGATGCCAAGACTAAATTTCAGGCAACAGGGCGGATGCCTAAGCTAGTCCTTTCCGAGAGGGCAAAACCATTAGTTTAAATAAACCCCTATTTCTACATGGACAGAATATGAGCAGGAACCATGTCATTTCTCAGTCTGCCCCTCGAGATTCATCAGCGGATCATTTCATGTCTTCTTTCCAACCGTGATGTAGCTGCCCTCTCACTACAATGTCGATTCCTCCACTCCTTGTGCGATATGGCAATGCGCAAGAAGTACCAACGAATTAGTGTCTCCTCAGGAGAGGAAAATATTGACGAGTCATTCGCCTTTCTTATGGATATCTTGAAACGACCTAGCTTGGGTAATTATGTGCGCCACGTTGAATGCTGCAAATCAATATATGAGTATGGGCATATCGACTACAAGGAAGTCAAGTCTCAACGAGACTTGAGCAACGAGGAGATGAATCTTGTGCGAAATGCCGTCAGGAAGGGTGGTTTCAAAGGTACCCAAGAGGATAGAGTGGTCAATATGCTTATGCAGAGGATGGAAAAAACGGCAGCGCTTGCCTATCGGTGAGAATCTCGTTTGATCTTAGTCTCTGGGCAACTATCTAAGCAAGTGGATAGATATCGTGAGAGTATCGGTACATTCATCGCCCAAGCCTTGACTGCTATTCTGATTGTGGTATCACCGAACCTTGTGTCGATGGCCATGACACCTCCCTGTCGCCTGAGTTCTAAACGCGTAATCGACTTCCCGCTTGCAGAGCTTCTTCATCAAGCCAATGCCAGTCCCGAAAGTATGCCATATCTTCGCAACCTCCGCAATGTTTATCTCATTAACAAAAATGATGATTCTGAGAGTCGCTTCTATCTCCCAATGGAGTTTTCTGGCTGCTTAAGGCTATTTGACAATCTCCTGTCAATTGAATCCGTCCGCGTTGATATAATGGAGGAGGATGGCAACGAAAAGCTTGCATTCAAAGAAAAATGTTCCAATATCACCAAGATATCCATCCATCATTCTTCACTTGGTTCTCTCTACCTCACGAATCTGATATGGTCGTGTAGAGTCCTCAGGGAGTTCCAGTATTCTACCGGAGGTAGAGCAAGTATTGAAGGAGGGTCTCCTATGTTCAATCCCAAAGCATTCATTAAAGTCCTTTGCGCGCATAAGAAAACATTGGAAATCCTTGATGTCAATACAGGCGATGGAGTTTATGCATTCGATATCGTTGACGAGGAAGAGAGAGACCACCGATTCAATCACCATGGGGGGCCATTTGAATACCACATCAGCGACGAAACCTGCACATTCTACAAATTGATATGGACATACGGCGGGTCACTGAAAGAATTTGTGGCCTTGAAACGGTTGAGCTTGGATATAAACGTTATGTTATACTTTGCCGCTGGTGTTAGTGGAGAACCCTACAAGAAGGGGACAAAGTTGGATTTGGTAGACTGTCTGCCAGTTGGGCTAGAGTATTTATGTGTTCGGGGATACCAGAAGGGCGAGAACGAGGAGCACGATAAGCAGATGGATGCTTTAATGGTCTTCTACAAGTCCGGGTCGTCCCAACTGACAGAGGTGAAGGGAATCGATGAATTGATTCCTAATGCTGAGGTGGTTCAGGATCCAGATGAAGACGATCATTTGTTGTGGTCATTGGAGGAGATGGGATATGAGAGTGATTAGAAGGTTATGTCCAGGATGAAAGACCAGAATATTGATGATATTGGCTTCTAGCGTACCTAATCCCTTGACACTGCATGTTTCTACTACAGACCAACCGTTTTCGAGCCCATGTCTTCTGTCCAAATTTTCGCCCACGCTGAGTTGAATTATAGCATGAAGCAACGATAGCAAAGAGAATCGCTGAGGTAAATAGGATTTTGGAACGAAACATATTTAAGATCTACCCCGCCACCACTGGATCGCGCATTCGCAACAGGGGTCTATTGGCTACATTAAAGCGGATAACACCACGTAACTCGACTCACTTTATTTCATCCATTTATCAACCGGCACTACAATTGCTTCCACAAGTATTAGCCTGTGTTGAAATCCCCAAGAATATTCTACATAAAGTTCACCAGAAACAAGAATGCATCTCCATTAGCATCGTCGAGAATTGAAAGCTTCCTCCACGAGAACCCACAGTCCGGCGCCACCCGCCGACACGGACCACCATGGCAATCAGGACCCACATCGGATTAGTCTTGGTATCTACATTGTACATATAGTCAGGGAGTTTTAAATGGGAAGTTATGGCTAGAAGGGCTGGAAAATGAGGGCTGGTAGATTTCGAGAATTAAAGGTAAATCAGAAGCATATCGGCGATATTATCGGCAGTACTATTGGCAGTGGAACTGAAAGATATCCAAATTGAGGAATCTAGGCAAATTAGGGCCATGAGAATGGGGAGATCATTGGTAGCAAGAAGAAGAAGCGTCAAAACTCCGAACACAGCAACGCCGAGTAGCAGGGTCTTGTGCAACGATTTCCGAGGCGTAGGTCTATAAATCCCATTGTGCCTTTCAAGGTTACTGGTACCGATTTATAATGGTATCCTCAAGGCTTCTAGAAACTCCCGAAGTCGCTCATTGACAAGCACGGCCTACTAAACCTCACCCGATTTATGCAACCCATTGTTTCCTTTCTCCGCAGTTTGGGGGATACAATCTTTCTCTGTCACCAGTTGACTGATATCCATTGTTTAATATGGCCAAAAATCGAGTTCATCTGAGTGCAGAATTACTATTGTATAATCTTCATCGTTGACAACTTCTTATCTAAAAATGAATTTGGTAAATATTGTATTGATACCTTCCTTGGCAATATTGGGGGCCGTTATGATTGATCGTCAGCATGTTGGCCTCAGGCCAGATGACTGCCTAGAGTGTTTAGATTTCCCTCGACTCGACATCTCCTCTCCTTGATGCCTTCCTGTCTTCATTTCCTCCTTAATAATACACTGTTTCTCATTTAACCCTAATCGTGAGTCTTGGTTGGCTGCAGGAAAGGTCTTATCATACTGCGCCTGGATGACGGCATGTGGTGCAAAAACATCGAGGCGCGGGGTGCGATGAAAAAGAAAGAAAGAAACGCTTGGGCCATAGCGAGGAGATCCTCTTTGGTCAGATTTCAATTTTTCTAACTAATGGAAATCACAGCCACAGTTCGTAGCTGCCAGACCAATTGGAAGCAATCGGGGCTCTGCTTCACGTAAGCTGTTTCAAGGCACCTGAACAAACCCTGAGGGTGCGTATCCGGACACATCCAGTCACATCTCAAGAATGGCTTTCCATATCGTGCCTGCGCCACGATCTGAGCTGCCTCCTATGAATGACACTGCTAAGAACGCCAATCATGGTGACGTGTGGCGCTGGGGTGTATGAAAACTCTGCCAAAAACGCCTATCAAGGCACCCAGGTAGGTCATTGCATACCATTCAGTATATAAGGGGTATATACTCCAAGGGTTTCCCCGCATTTCTGCGTAGGTCGCTCTCATCATTAAATTGTCCATGAAACTCGTTAAGCTTGGTGCCTCCCGTTCCTGAGAATTACAATCTACACCATGACAGAACCATTCAACCCTGGCTTGTCATACCTCGATCACGAGGGAGAAAATCAGTGGAACGAAAGTGATCCTCCGTTCTCCTATATTTTCGCTGATCCCTGGTCCCCTCTTCTCGATGATCTTTTATATAAACCTGCTCTTGAATCTCCCTCCGCTCTCCTCACCCCTGACTCTACGACTTCCACCTCAGTCGGTGCTCTTCTTGAGATCACCGATAATCAATACGAGAAGCGCTCCCAGGCCGAAGAGGGCGCCGCTGCTGCCGATACTCCGAGCCTTGATCTTCACGACGGGATATCTGACATCACCTCCACAATCATCTCCACTGCGGACGAAGAGCAAGGACCGATGGCTGCCTCAGATGATACCTCCCAGAGGCCTACATCTTATGCCAAAGTCTCGAGGGTTGCTAAGTATGTTTCGTTTGGAAGAACTCTCTCCCTTCTCTGGGATATGATTTTTAGATATGGGTTCTAACATTCGTCTGGCATAGATCTAGTCATGGCAGTCCACTAAAGTGCAAATGGAAGCACTGCGAATACTCAGGAAGTTTCTCTCAAAGGGGAGCCCTGCTGCGCCATATCAAAACAAAGCACATCTCGCCGGGATTATATGAATGCCCCGAGGGAGAGTGCCAGAAGAATTTCAATCGAAAGGATAATTTGATTGCGCATATCCGGAATGTTCACCGCGAAATGGTTTGATTCTTCCTTCAAAATGGTCCTGCATCTGACAGTGGGTGTCGGCAGTGAGTATCGGGGTTATGGCTGGAGCTATGGTGTATGGTTATCGAAAAGTTATGCTTGTTTCACTATTTTTGTTACAATATAAAAGCGTTCGCTCTTCTTTTATCATTTGGGTGCATTGTCGCTCTCGTTCCTTTTCGAAGTCCTTGTTTTCCATGCTCTCACCGTTGCGGCGTAGTGAGCAGCACTTTGAGCCAGGGCTTCAAACCTTTAGTATAGCCTTCACGAGAGGCCCTTATGTTCGTATCACATACTGAATTCACAAAATACATGAGCTTTGTGCAAGTCTCTGCGAGGAAACAGACAAGGGATCGGATAGGTCTCCGTATGAAGGTTGGAGGGCCGTATGCCCTAGGCCGGGGAAAGGGACAAATTTGTCCAGCGCAAATAAGATATGATGACGGAGGGAAAGACGGGAGAAAATTGTAAAATAAGTGAAGCTGGTAGAGAGGAAACAAAAAAGGGCAAGCGGCCCTAATTGAGGAAGGAGCAAGGTCCCGTTCCATTTGCCTGACGCGAAGAATCCACATGATGTTATCGATGCCGTATCGAACACTGCCTCATTGTTTGCCGAAAGACGTAGAAAGTGGCTGGCTACTTGGGGAAGTTTCCCTACTAGCTGCTAGCCCTACGGGACTAAATAATGTCTCTATTTTGGTGCTCACGTCTTGCCCACTTTTGATTCCACGCTATTACGTTAGGTTTACCGACTCAAACATACTGTTGACAAAATCTTCTGTTTGATAATGCTTCATCACGCTTGACATTGTGTCTACTTTCAGGTGATAATAAAGCAAAAGCGGAAAGCTAAGTAGTATACATATCTTGCTTGCTCTGCCCTATCCCCGGTCTAAAATGATAAATTAATTACTTCCTCCTATCAATAGAACATTGATTCCACACCACTTCACTCCTTGAATGCCTATCCAGAACCAGGTAGTTCCCTTGCTATTTAGACACCCATCTAGAAAAGGACCTTGGAAAGATCCTTGTTAGACTGAACTTTGATGTTCCTCATCATGAGCACCCAGGCAATTGAAAGTCCCATCACCGCGGTACCAGCAATCATCATGTATCGCTGGCTGAATGCATACGCATTTTGAATAGCTGTGCGAGCAGGTGAACCAACCGGATAACTGAGCTGTATGTCCAGCGATTCGTATATATCTGACCACTGGTCCTTCAATTCATCTGGCAGATACTCGCGTAGCTTGTTAGGAAGTGTGTTTGTCCAGATAGCGCCGGAAACACTACTTCCCACCGCACCGCCAATGTTTCCAAACGTGCTGAGAAGTGCCAACATGGCGGCATAGTCTTCATGCGAGGCCGCAGCAAGGACAGCAACCTGCTCGATCAGAATAAAGGTGCCGCCGCCCACTGCAAGGAAGATCTGGCACATGCACATATATCCCACGTTGTGACCCGGTTCGCGGAAGTAGATCATCAGACCGCTTGCCAGGAGGTAAAGAGGCAGAGCGCAGCAGAGGAGCCACTTGAAGCGACCGGTTGTTCTGATGAGGAAGCCACAGCCAATAAGCCAAATGGGATCCATGAAATCAAAAATGGCGCTGATGTAACCGGCCTGTGTCAGGCTTGTGTTGTAGACGACTTGGAGGTAGGAGGTGAAATAGCTGGCCCAGCAATAATAAGAGACCTGGTAGGTAATATCCAATAAACATGCGCCAATGACTGTGCGATCGGTGATTAGGTGGAATGGAATGAAAGGCTTCGGAGCCAACCATCGCTCGTACACAACGAATGCCACGAGAACACAGAATCCCACAACCATCATAGCAATGATCTTCGCCGATCGCCATTGACCTTCGGTGTTGCCGGCGATATTGAAAGATGTTAGGAAAAGGATCGTGCCACCTATCATTAGGAAGATCCCGAAGGCTGTGCATCACGTTAGTGAAGATGTAAGAAATAAATTTGGAAGCCTCACTCACCATCAAACTCCTTGACGTAGTACCAAATAGATTCTCCCCAGGATCGCGCTGTCCTCTGCTTGTATTGTAATTGACCTTGCCTGTCGGCCTTTCGCTTGGCCATTTCCCAGGTCACAACTAAAGGAAGGGCAGCGATAGGGAGAATGATGCAAATTGTCCCATACGCCCATCGCCAATTGGTTTCGTGGAATTGATTCGATAGAGGGGCGCCCGAAAAAGCCGTGATCATGCTAGGGGAGGAGGTGAGAGCAAAAGCAAGACCTCGATCACGAAGCGATGAGGTGTCCGATGTTATCACGTCAATACAGAAAATGGCACCGGTGAGTCCAACAGTATAAAATGACTGTTGAGATTAATTAGCAATTTTGACCTAGGGTGAGGATGATAGAAACATACCTGCGCAGCGCAATACGTCGCAATATTGTTACAAGCAGCCATCATGATCAACCCCATAATTGCAATCAAAATCATGATCACGAATCCAACAGTTCGATCAAAAAGATTCAGGACTTTGGCAATGGGCATCAAACAAGCGGCACCCATAACGCTGGTTACCACTGAAATCACCGTCAGTAGCGAGTGTTCCGAAAAGTCACTTGTAATGTACGCAGAGAGGTTTGCCGTAAGACTGCTGTTGAGATTGTTGACGAAATACACCAGCCACATACTATGTTCGCATTAAATTAATGTTTTGGGGACCAAGTCGATTAATTTTGCTCACCTAGTATAAGCAACAATCAGATGCTTGCGAGTCCACGTAGCGGTGACTGCGTCGGCAATTTGAACACCATCTTGCTGAAGCTTGTCATCTGGAATATCTGGCTCCTCTGTGTTGAATGGCTGCGGGGGCTCCGCGGTGGCCCCCTTGATAGTGGTAATGTTGTCTGTATCCATGGAGTTTGGAAGCAACATGCATATACGTATGTTGCAGAGACTTTATGGGATCGGTAGAATACGGAATAAAATGACTATAAGGGCGGAGATGGCTTTTTAAGTTATCTCCCACATATGTAAATCATAGATAATCTGTGTATATTAAATCCTAGACCCTTTCCGTTCGGATAAATGGTGGCGTTTTCTAGCGTGGGTCCTTTAATATAAACAAGAATACAAGGTTGGCCTCGTCATTATTGTTTTTGGGAGTCTTTTTAGATGTTCTTCGAGATGTAATTTTCTGTTAGATATTTCCCTTATTGATCTGGTAGCTAGAAGAATAAGAAGAATTTACGAAGTATAGAATATATGCGGTTAAAAAAAAAGGAAAAAGGGATAAAATGTACTCCGTAATGCTTAACCCATGCAGTAGTGTGCAGGGGATTACTCGCAAGCGAGGTCTCAGATATTTAGGAAACTTCAAGAGGTGGGGTTCTAAGTAACTTTTACCGAGTGGCGTGATCAGATAAATATTCCATCAGATAAATATTCCATCAGATAAAAAATTTTGATCAGATTAATTTGGTTTCGGTTGGGGAAAAGCTTAGACAAGCAGCCAAGCTTTCCCATAGCTTGGAACACAGGTTGCTTGTGTCATTTGGATCTAAATTCACTCTCAACCCTATCCGGAAAATGCCGTGCGCTTCGGACCGATGGTATACCTGATAAAGAGGGTACTCTTATTTTTCCTATCCGTTATCTTATCATTGGTTCTAATTTTGCGGATGGAGATCTCCACAGTGAGCCCAGAAAGGCCCGTAGGAGCTTTTTTTTCTCGAGTTTCCCTTAAGACAATATATCATTGGAGTGTAGAAGCCAGGATAGCAACGCCATCCTATTTTATATATAGAAAAGTTCAGTGCACATTTTACAGATCCTTTACTGTATTCTACTTTTTATATTTCACAGCTGATCTCCTTACCCTAATATATAGCTCCCACACCGATGAAGGAGAAAAACATCGAAAAGAGAGTTTGAAAAAGACCGCCAAAAACAATAAAACCGTCGCAACTAGGCGAACTAGTTTTGTCCATTTGCATGTGTCTACATGATTGGGTGCTATTATGGGCAGTTGTGGGGGGAACGGAAAGTTTCTGCCTACCTAAATGCTTCCATTATGGAAAGGTTGGGAAAGAGATTTCAACAGGGCCCGAGCCTCAAAATTTTAACAGCCGATGTTTTGCCGACCACTCGGAGCTGGGAGGAACTCTCGAGACTTCGTTGCCTGGCGGCTAGCCACCCAACCATTTTCACATGCCTTTTTCGGTCTGGGGAAACGGTAGTTGGGGTGGGCTGGCGAGACAACTCTTGTGGATGAAACTGAAAAACATCCAGTACGTATCCGCCGTAGGACCTCGGGATAGGTCCACGGGTATATATATACACCCCCTTGTCCCCGTCCACGGGTATGACCCCTTGTTATGCAGATAATGCACGTGGATTATATAAATTATGCTTGTCACCACCGTATTGTATATCTGTGCCTTCCAGTGCCCCCCCCACCGCCTTCGGGATGGGGGTGCACCACACCGTAAACCCAATTCACACCGTAAGCCCAATTTTGAAGCTATTTGTTTTTTCCACGTTATTCCCACCAAACCACCATGCCGAAGGCGCCTAAAATAGACGAATCTCGTGTACTCGAGGCCTGCGAAGCCGCCCAGCGCGAAAAAAAACCGAATCTAGCGAAGATCGCGCGGGAATATAATGTTTCGTACGAAATACTGCGCGGTCGTATTCGCTGGGGTTAATAGGCTCGTAGCGCCCGTATACCTAAAAACAAAGCTCTTGATAAGTATTAGGAGAAAGCTCTAGTCCAGTGGATCATTCGTATACGTGATTTGTATCTCCCTGTCACCCCTGAGATACTTATAGAGTGGGCGAATCGGGCTCTTGTGCGTGCTGGTTTAAATCATGAAGTCAGTAAGATATAGGTGTATCGTTTCGAGAAAAGACTCCTACTACACCTTATATTGGGCCCTGTGATACAGAGAACGAAGGGTAAAAAACGACTTAAAGCAGAAGATATAGGATACCTACAGCACTGGTATAATCAGCTTGCGAATATACTTCAAGGTCTCCTATCACACTTAATCTATAACTTTGACGAATACGGCTTCTAACCTGGCTAAGGAAAAGCTCGAAAGGTTATTAGGACGAAGGGAAGATACCCTGATCTCGCTGAGTTCGATTATACTGAGAATATTACGGCGATCGAGTGTATCGCTGCTGATAGGTGGATTATAGAGCCGCTATTTATTTTCAAAGGCGAGAAGTTTATAGAAAGTTAGTATAATCACCCTGGTCTACCACACTTTTAGACCGCTGTTTCGCCTAAAGGATATATTAATAATTTCCTTGCTATTGGATAGCTTCAAAATTTTTATTTAGCTACAAAAGATCGGGTTAAGAGGGGTGAAAAACGTATATTAATATTCGATAGTTATAAGTCCTATAAGACCGTTGAATTTCTATAACTCTGCGAGGATTACAGTATTATCCCTTTTTGTTTTCGGCCTTATACAACTCATATTTACTAATCTCTCGATAGTAAGCCTTTTCTTACTTATAAACAATATTTTCGTAAGTAAAATAACCTTATTTCTCAGTGGGGTGGAATCCCCGCGGGGAAGCCATTCGAAAAGTGGGCTGCTCTGCACCTGATACATGAGTCCAAGACCAAAGACAGAGCCTTGTGATCTTGTAATAAAGTAGCATATTGTTCGATTCAAGATAAAAATATCAGGACAAATAGTAAAAAGAGAATAACTGTCTTTCCAGGTCAATTTTGAACAGGCGTCAAAGCTACCTTCGTTCCATTAGCGTTTGTCAACGTCAATCCAAAATTTTCCGTCCAGGGGTTCGGATCTCGATTTTCGATTGTCCCAAACTGCTGCAAAATCCGAACAATAGTATACCCGGTCTCCGTTAGTGCAAACTGCTGGCCGATGCAGATTCGGGGACCTCCATTGAAAGGGAGGTATGCCCATCCGGGCTTGAACTTTTCCCATCTCTCCGGCCGGAACTCATCGGCATCGGGCCCATAGATTTCATTATCGCGCTGCATTGCGTATACAGTGTAGAGAACCTCGTGACCCTTGGGTACATGAAGAGGGGATTTTCCATCCAGCCCACCGCCGACGGGAAGATATGTGTCTTTGTTGGCCTCACGCAGACCGAAGGGGGCGATTGGATACAAGCGCAGAGCTGTAGATTATTTAGCAGACCGCTTAGCCAGAGCTCGGAGGGGTGTTACTTACTCTCGTTGATAACCCAGGCCAGGTAAGTGATCGATTTCAATTCTTCGAATGATGGCTTTTGTCCGTCTAAAATGAGGATTTCTTTTTGAAGTCTGTCCCACACATCAGGTCGTCGAGCCAAGACGAAGAACACAAGGCTTAGTAGGCTGGCAGTGGTATCGCGACCAGCAAACATAAGACTCAGTAGCTCGTCGGTTATTGTAGTCTTGTCAAGTGTCTGCTTGCACAGCTCGTGGGAAAATACGTATCGACTTTCCGTCACCCGCTTAATATCTTGATCAATGTCCCGCCCGCTATCGACTGCGAGACGATAATCGATCGCTTTTTGTACGAACCTTTGGACATACTCGCGGATAACTTTCACTGCGTCATTCAATTCTCTCCTGCGGTAGAACACCCCTAAATACCCAAGTCGGAAGCGTATGGCAGTCACCGATTGGGCTACATCGAAAGCTTTCGCAAATTTTGCGCCCGCAGGAGATTCCTCTTCGCGCAGCGAGTCAGCAGACTCTCCGAACAGAAACTCGGTAGCGGTGTCAAAAGTCTGCTTTTGATCAGTCACATACTTTGAGAGTCTCCAAGAACTGACACTGTACCCCTTTGAAAAAAAGTGGAAGCAAATCGATAGTCGATCCGTCGCGTGGGATCTGCTCGATGAGATTGGCAACGTGGGTCTCATATAACCCAGTGTCGTTAATGTGATTACGCGAGAAATTAGGCTTGAGGAGAGCCCGTGAATGTTCCCACGCGGTACCATCTAGACCGAATATGCTATTGCCTACGAGTGGACGCACTGACTCACGAGCCGGACCCACTGAGAAGTCTTTGAATTTCAACGCGAGGATTGTTTGGATGTTCTTTGGGTCGACGGTGAAGATGGTATTTCGATTCACGATTCTCGCCCTGAATGTTGGACCGTAGCTTCGATGCCAGCCTCGAAGAAGTTCAAGAAACCTATGCTCGGGGCCAGCTTTGAATAGTTCCATGGCCATGCCAATGCCAAACAGGCCGTGGGACACCGAGTGCGCGGGAGGCTGGCAGCCGTTCGCACGAGCGTACTTCCATCCTGGACAAATATTCAGTGTAAGTGCTGGTTCATCATCGACGAAGAAAAGAGCTGCGTACTTTGAAAGGCTTGGACAGATTTTGCCAGCGACCAAGTAATTATAACAGCCCCAGCCACAAGGCCGTAAAAGGGAGTTTGCAAGAGGTTGAAAGACACCGGTGCCATAGCTACGGTGGATTGCAGCGAGTACGATATCTTGGGATTGTCAGCATAGCGGCCCGTGTTGTATTGATATACTTGAGCTGTGTGCATACTTCCAAGGGCATCTATTTTGAGGGATCATGTGGTACAGCATGTATTATTAATCAGCGGGGTAAATATTTCGATCAGCGATCGTTTGGTCTTTTCATCACATATGTCAAAGCGTAGTACCCGCAGAATAACTGCGCCCCTTCCACCTTTGATTGCAGAGATATGTGTAGGTTAATTTGGGCGTAGGGCGAATCACAATAGTCTGCCAAGCAACATGACCCAATACTGAATAATTTCATCTAGCGTGAAGGTTGGAGATGAGCCCGAAAGTTAGCGAAAAAGCGAGGCGTCCAGTCCTCTTGTGATACTCCTAAATCTGCAGTAATTTCCTTGGAAATCCCTGGCCTGCATTTGTCGGGACTGGGTTCTCAATGCTCATTGGATTCAGTGTCTGAGCTTCGATACATGTGGAAGCGTATTTGCAAAAAAGGAGACATGCAGTGGAGTTATCTGACGTTCGGAATTGTTCATTGGAGTGCATGTAGAGTAGGAAACAAAACAAACAAGTTCCGAGATGTAATTGTGTTCGCCAACCAGCATACATAGCCTAACACATCACAAGATCCCCGTAATTAGAATTTAATACGAAATACGAAATCGACGGCAATCACATATGGCCACTGGTGGTATCTATATTCCGTCACCTTCTCCGTTATAATTGGGTGCTGGTTGGGTTCATCGCAGTGGTTTGTAGCGGGGTAGCAATCGTGCATGAGACGGGGACCGAGAGCGAGAGGCGCACCGAAAGAGTCTAGATGTCGATTCCTTTTACCAAATTTCACACCTCATCCTTGCTTAATATTCACCCTGAGAATTTGAGATGAGACTGAGAAGACCGTTGCCAATACCCCGGTAAAATTTCGGGCTATCATTGCCATTTGTGTATCGTTTTTGAGGAAAACCAGCAAGCAGGCTCAGCTTATGGCTACCTAACCCTGGTCGAAGGTTGTCCCCTCCTTAGAAATTCAGTCGTCGGGACTATTATCCGTAGACCGGGATAACCAGATCGAGCAACACACATATCATCACTTCCCATGACCCCGGGTGGTCAAAGTTCAGGTTCCATGTGGAAAAACGTGCCAATGAGCAAAAAAAATAGTTAATACTAGAATTGAAGGTGTGTTGTAAGAAGACCCTTTTTGCTCAAAAACAAGCGCCACGGTGCTGCACGAAGTGTGATGGTGTGCAGCTCATCAAAACCAGGGCCAATGAAAGGTTCCAATGCAAATCTCGGGGCAAGGTACGGAGTAGGTGTATCATATCTTTCATTATGGCCTCTCTTCATTTTAGGAATATCGGCGGTATGGAAATATTGAGCTTATCCATTTCCCCTCATTTGATACCTCCTTGGCCCTTCGGTTCTATCCGCCACGTCAACATGTCATGAGTCAAACCCTGAAGTCCAACACTCAGAGAGTACGTCCCCATGTCTGTGCATCAACCTCTTAAGGGCCACACCACAGGTCTGCGACCCACCAATAGTGACATCAAGCGACATGAGTCCTTTCATGAGCATGTCAATTTGTCGGTCCCAGATCCCATCCGGTATCAAAAACTGTACATACTCCAATATTGAATCATTACACTTAGTGTGAAGCTGCAGGTCTATCACACTCTCGATAGCCTTCTGAAGGGCCGTGACAGCCAGACTGGGAGTGACATGGTAAGCTGTGAGTGGTACTTCGGCGCCCAGTCCATTTTGGAGGTTAAAGGCCTCCTCAGCAGGCAAGTTGAGTACGCATTCAACTACCTGTGTCACGCATGAGACTGCGTCGCGCTGATATTCCCGAACGACTGGCCCTATTTCTTGTTCAACAGCAGGATCAAGTTCTTTGGTTACTTTTTTGAAGACTTCGGCGAGAAGGAAAATGCCAAGGTTCCAGAACATCACGAGGGAAACTAAAGCACAACGTGTTAGCAAAATACCAGTGATAGGGTTGCGGGAGAAAGGACGAGTGAGCTGATTGGTGGGAGTGTAACTTACCGAGGGATATTCGAGGACATGTGGAAAGACAATGGAAGTTTCTGATGCACTGACGGGTGAAAGGTTGAAATGATTCGCTGAAGTCACGGACAGCCACGATGCTCAAATTTATCGCTCCAATAATTATTGAGGATCGTTCATTGATATCGCCATGCGCCTGATTAGCAACAGTCTTGATGTTTATAATCTGCCGCCAGACACAAAATATTTCTGCAATGGCCGTCCGGCAGATGGGTTGAACATTGATATCCAATTCCAGAATATTTTGAGAGACTGCCAATGCTGCCACGACCTCTTTATTTGCAAGGCCTGTATGTCCTTAGCTAAATTGCCGTGAAGTTGAGATTTTCCATGTGACGAACACTCACCTTTTGTAGTACCCCACAGGTCTGGAAGTTTGCATCGACGATCCATCGCTAACGCTGCGCCTGTATCGCGGATATATGCAGTCCAGCGGACAATGTTCAAACTTGCCTCAGCAAGGACCCCATATGTAGATGATGGCCCCAGGTTTGCGCAGTATTGCGTGACAAGTCCATCCAAGTAGGATAACGTTTGCAAAGCTGTGTCAAGGAAGTGGTTTGGTGCGAGGCCCTCTCTGTCGAATATTTTAGTCGGTGTAACGATCCCAACGAACATGAGCGTTGCAAATACAACTCGGAAAGATCGAACATTGTGTGCGTCGTTGAGAAGTGATCTTGCCCGTATCCAAGCATCAATGAAGGCGTTCAAGGAAGAGTCATCTTTTGCCTCGCTAGACATTGAATTCTGAGGAAAGTGACCATAAGCTGAGCTTGCTTCAAAGGAAGGCGAACTCGGCAACCATTGCATGGAGAATACGCGAAGAACTGCTTTGAAAGCCTCATCAGATTTCTTCCGCGCGACCGAATTCAGTCGATTGCCATAGAGGTCGCCCAAATGATCAAGGAACCGAACACTTCCCAGCAAGGAGATTTCATAAGACATTGCTTGAGATGATGTCGGAAGAGCAGATTGAGGTAAAATAACAGTTGGATCCACGGTGGAGCCGGCAGGTGCTGACCCATTTGAGCTCCCTGACTCACTGTCACCCAATCGGTAGCGATTCCCAGTTGCATAAAGATTGCAGTCATAGTCCAAAAACCTCGAAGCACTTGCAGTTGCAATTGCTTCGTAAATCCGGGCTAGGCGATCACCAAATATCTTCGCGTCTATTCCAGAATTTAGTAGGTATATAGGACTGTTGAACGAAAGGCTAACGGTTGGCCAGGAATTGTTTGGTTTGAGGTTTCGGCGTCGGTGCAAGCCAGTCTGTTTAGAGGTGATAGCCGTAAGTTGACACTCATGCGGGCTATCTGCTGGTGCTATGTCGTCAGACTGAAGCGCATTGGGTAAAGTAAAAGAGTCGAGGTTGGTTGAAAATAAGGAAGCGCTCTCTGCAACAATCTCATCATAGTCAAGATTCAGCCAAGCCGCCATAAAATCCTGGCTAGCAACAGAGGTAGCATCAAATCGATTGCTCGGGCTTCCATCGACTCCCTCGATTGTTGTATCGAAGTTGTTCGATTCGTTCTGCGGTGTTGATCCCCCGATTTCCCCATAGCTGCACTTCTGCCGCTTGCGTGGCAAAGAACCCGACTGCGCTATAGCGAACTCGAATGTACACTGGCGTCTCAGACGCTTGCAATTTGCGCAAATCGCATCAGAAATTCCGTCTGGGTCCGACTGCAGAACACAGCGTCGCTTGGAACGTCTGCATGGATCGCAACTTGTATTTTGACGCCGTGGTGAATTCACAGGAGATGTAGACGCCTTTGGAGAATTAAGGTCTCCCGGCATTCCGTGTCTACATGATAACTACAAGCCGGGGTAGTGTCCACTGGATTTGGTTATTCACGACGCGGCGGAATAGTTTCTCCGGTCTGCGCCACCATTGAAACCTTATCTATTTCTGCCTTAGAGGTGAGGCAACAGTGCAAATGTATATTTGAAAGAGAGGAGAATCGTCATATAAAACGTAAAAAACCAAACGTGGTACACTTCCCAGGCCCAGAAATATTAATGAAAAGCTCTGGGCTCATGTAAATGTCGACAAAGCTTAATCGAGCTCATCGCGTCTCTCCGGCTGCCCTCCGAATACAATCGACGATAAAGCCCGGGTTGCTCATGAATGGGGAGTGGCCCTCCTCGCATTCCTCCACCTCAAAACAGCCCTCCCCTTGCGCTATCATTCTCCGCTGGAACGGCTCCCGCAATGCCAGGTCGTTCTTGCATACAATGTATGTGCTTGGGATTTCACGGTACGCAGTATATGTGGCAGGGACGAGAAGCGGGCCTGGGGGAAATGTGCCCAGCAACTCCACTGCCTTCTCGATGTCCTTCGGGTCACAGCGGTTATAGAACACGAGGTGGATACGGTCCTTCGGAAGGGCGATTGCTCCATCCTAGCAAGGAATTAGGATTGAAGATATAATGACAAAGGACTCATGTGCATACCGCTGTCATATCCAGTTCACCAAACTGTGCTTCCAGCTCCTTGCGCTGACGCTCGACCTCTTCTTCCTCGTGAGTCTGTGGGACCAACTGGCCGATGTGGGTCTGGCCTTCTGGCAATGCCATTGCACACATGTAGACCAGCTTGATAATTCCTCCTTTCAAACCCTGTGCATCTCGTTCTTTCTTTCCTAGACCCTTGGCTCCCTCGGACATGGCGACGCCGCCAAATGAATGTGCGAGCACGATAACGTCCTTTCCGGCATCCAGTTTCTTCATAATCACTTCGCGGACAGCCTGCGCGTCCTGATCCCAGCTGATAAGTGGTGGACTGGAGTCAACGGCAGGCAAGTCTACAGCCTCTGCATCGTAGTTGACCTTTGCGAGCTCATCAACAAGGCCCTGGAAGTGTGCAGGTCGGTGCCATGCACCTGGCACGATGACGATTGATGGATTGGTCATGGTGGAGTTTTATTGAAACAGAAGAGAAATGAAGATTGGTAGTTGAAATTGAGGTAAGATGAACATCAAGCCTTTAAATATCGGGGATAAACATTTGGCGGCTCGTGGATGTCTCCACATCGGAGCCGCCCCAAAGTGGATCTCTTGGTCGGAGCCGCCCCAAAGTGGATCTCTTGGTCGGAGCCGCCCTGAAAGCTTTGACCGCTGATTGGTCATATTTCGTCAGTTCTCATAGATCTTCCAAGGTTGCCCTCATGTGGTACAAGGTTACATGTATATATGCGTGTATGTAGGTAGGTCTGGGGATAGGTAGATATGTATTTTGTTATCCTAGTTTCGATGAAGAACTCATCAGTAGTGGGGTCTATGAAGTCGGACAAAAAGCTACATATGTTGTCCAGCTTGGTTAAGGTCCACGAGTATTGGAACAGCAACGTAGTTCAAAATCAAATAAAATCTATGCGGGCGGAATCGAACTCTGGCCAGTCAAATTGGTGTTATTTTAATTAGGAAATGGTCCTATATATCACTTGAGAGATTTTGGAAGTTGTCACTTCCGGATCCAGCTCGGTTAGCTCAGTGGATGGGGCCCTGAAGCCTAGCCTTGGGATGCTGAGCGTGTATATCTTCAATTGGTCCTGGGCTTTATGACCCCAGGGCACAGTTAAGGTCGCTGCACCTCTTAAGGTTGAACAAGGGTTAGAGGGATGATGTCTCCACACCCACAGGGTAACTATGGCCGAGTCCAAATTTGAAGGGGGAGCGGTCCCAGCGAATTCGGCGTGGGTTCGGAATTACCCCCTCTTTCTTTTTTCTATTTTTTCCTTGGAGGTCCTTTCAAACATCCATAATATCGTTTTTAGGTAGCTTGAAGTCAGATGAGAAATTCTCCATTTTTCTACTGAAAAGACTTTTTACATGGGATGATTTTTGCAGTCTGAATAAAATACATTCGTTCTCCTGAATAGTATGTTCTGATTTTGCTATATGCTATGTATGTACACTTCACAGCACTACATCACAGGTAATGGAACATCAGATGGCCCTTTCGCATTCATGAGTCAAGGTACTCCTGGGTTGGGTATCTTCATCTCTCCAAACCATCTGGATAGGACTTCAGCCTAAAATTTAGATGCTAAACTCCTTCAACCATTCTGTAAAGCATATTCGTACCATATAGATACAATTATTATATCTAGATTAAAGGAAGTCAGTTACTCACAACTTCATCGTCTTTGTCAAGGTCCTAAAAAAGGCATCTACGGGTCCGTTTCTTTGTTCGAATTGTGTCGACACAACCGAGTTCCCTCTCTTTGATTCTTTGACTTTATTTCCTTGTCAATGTAGTGGAAAACAACCGTGGCCAGGTGCCGTTGTACTCCGCTATCTTCAAATGTTTGCTCACTCGACGGCTCGGGGGACAAACGAGTTTATCATCCCAACAACACAGGCAAAGATGGGGTGAAGTGACAACTCAGCAAATTGCTATTAAGCAACGCAAACTTCTACTTTTTTATCCTCATCCTTTTTCATCTTCATCGTCTTTCATCTTCATCATCATTGATCCTTGTCATCTTTCATCCTGGTTAGGCTTGCATCGTCTTTATCCATCTTGATAATCCGCTATCCTTATCTCTGCATCGTCCAATAGCAGTGATGTCACTGAACCAAGTCCGCGTTTCTACGCGGCACACGCTTAACTGCGCCAATGACGCGTCAGTCGCCGCGCTCGAGTCCCCTTTCAGCCTAGGCCCGATGGACTACACAGTGCCACCCATGTTGACAATCGAAGCCATCCTCGTCTACCGAAAGCCAAAAATACTGCCAGAAGATATTTTCCTTCCAGCTGGGCGCTTGAAGTTTGCTGCCTCCCACCTCTTGGATTATTACCCACATTTGACTGGCCGTCTGCAGCATAATGCAATCAGCCAAGCCCCAGAGATTGATAGCCTGGGCAGTGGCGCTGAGCTATGGGAGGCGCATTGCACTAGGAGACTCGAGAACATTGCAATTTCTGCTCTTTCAGCCCGTATCTTGGTATCCAAATTGCCAGATGATGGGAATGCCCTTCTCCCGATTTTCCACCCAACAACGGGGGCTTTCTCCTGCAACCCCATCTTTGCTATCCAGCACACTCGATTTGCCTGTGGAGGGGTCGCGTTGGGAATTCGAGTCCATCATCTAGTCTGCGATGCCAATGGGTTCATGCAGCTCGTGCGGGATCTAGCAGATATCTATAAGCAATTGCGTGACTCATCTCCGCCAACTCTTATTTCTCCTCCAGAAATTATCTCACACTTCCGAGGAACGAACAGCCCATCGGCTACCCAGAAGGAGAAGGCATTGTTGTTCAACCCTCCGAGTTTCTACCTTGACAAACACACTACAAGCATACCTGAGGCTCCAAGCCCTCCCAACGTGATCGCCTGTTGTCTTCGCTTTCAAGGACAGGATATAAATTCACTCACAAATGCCGCAACCGACCCTGAGGCCCAGGGGCGGACCTTGTTCAGCGCCTTTGAGGTTATCTCCGCCTATCTCTACCAACGCATCTATCAAGCCAGAATTCAAGCTTTACATGTGAAGGGACTCAAACCAAACCCTGACTCATTGCATTCACTTCGTGGCTTTTGGTCAGCCGTGGACATGCGCAACTACAAGGGTCTGAAGCTCCCTATGCGATACTTCCCGAATGCCGTCTACTGCCCCTCGGCTTTTGCCTCACACGAATTACTCACAAATGGGGAGCTGTGGAAAGTTGCAGAATTTGTTCATGACACAATTCATTCGGTCAAAATCAGTGAAGTCGAGCAGGAATTTGAATGGATTACCGCACAGGCCAACAAGAGTTACATCAAGGCCAAAAATGTGGTGCCAAACGGCAGCCTCATAGCTACCCAGTGGACTAAGGACAAGACATACATTGGGGTTGACTTTGATGTTGCTCCTAATGGCAAACGCATTGCCCCGGCTCTGGTATCCCCGGCATTCACTGAAAGTCATCGGGTGGATGGGTACGCAGTTATCATGTCTACCGAGGAACATTTGCGTCGAGGCCAATGTGCTGCACGTTCTTTGATCCATGACAGTATCCCATGCGCTGTTGATGTCAATTTGGCTTTGGATATGTCGGTGTGGGATGTCCTGAACAGTGACCCTGATTTCCTGGCTCTCCATTCCTAATTTAGGATTCCTCATTACTTGCGCTTCAATTTCAGTAGCCCATGATATTCTGAAGAGCGCAGAATTTCTTTAGATATCTTTGGAAAATAAACTAAGAAAAAAAAAAAAGAAAAAAATATGCGAAACGATCAAAAAAATGGAAAAAGACACCAAACACAAAAACAAAACTTGAAATTGATAGACAGAATATAACTTGTCAGTGTAGTAATCTGGTCCATCTAGTAGTTGGTTTTGCAACCTAGTTTAGCACCCCCTCTAGTAATAATTCTATCTGTTTCAAGACGCTACCATAGTCCTCGTACGTCCATTTGTCTTGTTTTATGTTGGCTGGCCTCGTCATTGTTTTTACCTCGCCATCTCTCCTCTTCCGACACCTGGTTAAGGAGAAGGACTGCCCGATCGCCTTCTTTGTGGGACCGTGTTGCCGAATGTTTCGATATTAGGGATTGGAGGGTTTGTTCGTTGGGATCTGCCACTGGGCTCAAAGTCAGTCCTCATCTCTGCCGCTGTTTCATATTGAATGGCATTTAAATGTGAATATCGTGAACCCCACGCTCGAACATTAAAATTCCAGGGTTTTGAATGTGGAGAATCCATGGATGGCCCGAATGGTTCCCTTCGGAGTTCTCACTACCGTACAGGTGCATACGCTAGAGTACAGCCACAGAGCCTCATCTTTGAGCCTTGGCGTCACTGATTGTGACACTACTAGTACTGTAATCGGCCGGTATTTTTCAGTGTTGTCACCAATCAAAGCCCCCGTGGCCACAGTACTATTAAAGCTCCGTAATGGGTTACTAGCGCAAGCCCTGGAAAAGGTATTGGACAAAATGTTGCGAAATCTGCGTATGTTGTAGCCTTGCAAGGCAACCTCTGTCAAAGCAACGACCCGATCGGAGCTCTGTTTCTATGTTTCAAAGTATGAACGAATACATTATTCTGTGATTTATTCATCAAACTGGATGACATGAAAAAAGAACAAAAAGAAAAAGAAAAACAACTAAACCTTCTTCCCAGCCAACACCCGCTCAAAGGTCGCAAAGTTGCCTTCGTTCTTCGGATCATAAACAGCAAAGCACACCTCGCGCCACCAGTTCCCACAAAACTCAGCCTCCTTTAGAACCTCTAACCAGCAGTGCGCAATCTCAGCTGGAGGATTCGCATAGACCCCACAGCCCAGAGCACCGAGGACTAGCATTCCATGCCCATTGGTCGCCGCAATACGAAGTGCTTGCCTCATTTTGGATTTGGTAAGATTGCGGTCCTTGTCTCGGGCAAAGACTTGTTTAGTACGCCGAATTGAGGAAGGGGCTGAAGGTGAGCTGTGGTGTGAGCGTGGGCTATGGCCCCCTCTCCGTTTCTGAGAATGATTTAGCACCAGTGTCCGAATTGCAGGTCGATAGAGAGCGGCGACCGTAATCCCGCTGACAACTGGAAGATCCTCTGGCGGGGTAGAGGGAGACGCTAGCAGAGTGTGTCCGGAGGCAAGGTCACTCCGTATTACCAAGACGTAGGGGCTGTAGATCGACTCGTCTAGAGCAAGCGGGTAATCCTTGCTGTCGAGGCTTAGCGCCAATGAGCTGCGATAGCAGATTGATTCTTCTTGTGCCATCGCGCCATTTAGCCAGCCCCCGCCTGGTCTTCGGTAGCTGGCGAAGTTGATTATTATTGGACGGGGGTTCGGGGGACTTGGATGAAGACGGTGTGTTTGTGCAGACTCAAACAGTCTGACGGCAGCGTTGAGGGTATCGTCGTTGATGACTTTGATCGTCGCGGGCGATGGGAAGCGGGGACAGTCATTGGGGTGTAAGCTTCTGAGGGAATTCCACGATAATTTCTTGGATTTTTCGGCCTCATGGACGGAGTTGAGGCGGTTTAGGAGAACTGGGAGAATGCCGATGGTTTCCTGGGCGGTTTGTCTGAGGGCTTGCCTTTGGGCATTATCTTCATGATGGCGATGATGACGATGACGTGGGGGTATATGCCTTGGGCTTGGGATAGACTGGCGGTGTTCATTCACTAAGTCCAATAACAAAGACTTGATATTCTGTGAAGACATACTTTCTGTCAGGTATTGCTTAATTTGATGTCAAAGAGAGAATTGACCGTATTTGAACCAGCGTCAGCATGTAATATATCAAATATCAGGTCGATTAGATCCGGCCATCAGTGCTGTTTTTGGCGCATGTCGCGTGTTATTTAGAGTCAATGAACGAAGGCAGCCTAATGGTTGCTGAAATTTTAAAATACTAGTTTGTTACTAGTAGCCTCAGGGTCCGTATTCAAGATGGAGCTAGGCCTATTAAAGTAGGGATATATGGATATCGCTTTTAGGTACCAGCCATACTATTCTTCAGTTGCAGTAATAGTGCTTGCAAGCTCATGCTACGAGCAATCTCAAAAATATTTCGTTGGTCTTTGCTCATCGTTATTTGTTATATGAACTGATATATTTAGATGACAAGACCCGCTTTCATCAAAAAGGTACCCTGAAATCCAGCGACTTATAGATATCATTTAACATTGAATTTGCTAGTCTCATTGATGTTCAATCGTGAGTGGAATCTATCTATGTCATGTATGTATGCACTTTCAGCTGCCAGCAAGCAGAGTATGGATGCCAAGCTGCAATCTTCTCTTTCAAGAAAAAGCGCAAAAGACCCCAGACTCAACCTTCAGTTCTATGGAACTCAGCATGCTTGCAAGATCGGGAGTGGCTCTCTAGAGCCCTGCGACAACACATAATGTTATCTCTGTAGCATCCTCAAAAAGGGGGTTTCACTCACTCAAGCCAGTCAGTCATTGGGGATCGTGGTTACCCTTTGGGTCTTTGCAAATACGCACCAGCCGCAGATTGTCCCGTGGGTATTTCTACCCCGGTTGCTGTTCCGACCGGACCGATTATGTATACTCGGACGGGGTGGCATCCTTCCTAGATTTTGGTTCCATTCGGTTGATTTCAATGTCTCGCAATATATATTTTAGTGGGGTGCTACGATGCATTAGAGTTATATATCATATGGCCCGTTCTCTCTGTGCTGAAATGTTTCTCGGTTACCTGATATATGTGAAAGCAGGAAGAGAAAATCCCAAGGCAACAGATCTACTTCTAAATATACTCTTCGGAATGACATCATATGCCTCAGCTAATATGACCTGTGATTGATTTAGATTAATTATCACGTGGCTCAACCCCGGGATCCACCTGCGCCAGGGCCAGAACCATCGGAGTTACCATGGTCATCAGTTGTTTTGGAACTCGATTCATATAAACCTTTTTTTCCCCCTCAAAATAGAGAAAGATTTACGGCTTTCTGGAAATATATTCCACACGTCCAGCTATCTAACCATCATTCTACATCGGAGATATCTCTATTTTTCCCACGTGTGATGTCATCGAGCTGCGACGATGGAAGAACCACCGCGCCGGCCTTCTGCGCTTGAACGCAACCAATTTACTCAGGATGGCACAAAGGTTCAAGGTGGGAGCAACTCTACCTTTTCTGACTCACTGATCAGGAGAGTGTGCTGATTTTTTTGAAGATGATGGTCGGATTGAGATCGACCTGGACTCCAAAGTGGGTCGGGAAGTGTCAAAATTGATACCATTTCTGCATACCGAAGAGCAGATAGAACCACAACCAGAGCCTTCAGGTGATGCTGGATGTGGTCTCGAGCTCAACATCGTCATCCAAGTTGTTGGTAGTCGAGGCGATGTTCAGCCGTTTGTCGCACTAGGCAACGAGCTTCAGCGCCATGGACACCGCGTACGATTAGCCACGCATGGTGTGTTTGAAAGCTTCGTGCGGGACTCTGGTCTAGAATTTTATTGCATCGGAGGAGATCCCTCGGAGTTGATGGCATATATGGTAAAGAATCCAGGACTGATACCACAGATGAAGTCTGTCAAAGAGGGTGATATTCAACGAAAGCGCGTCATGGTAGGCCAAATTCTACAGGGATGCTGGGAATCCTGCATTGAAGATGATTCCGTGACGAAGACACCCTTTGTCGCCGATGCTATTATCGCGAACCCTCCAAGCTTCGCCCATATCCACTGTGCTCAGGCACTTGGCATCCCTCTACATATGATGTTTACCATGCCATGGACTAGCACAAGGTCATTTCCCCATCCCTTGGCAAACTTGAAATACTCAACCACGGAGCCGAAAATGGCCAATTACCTTTCGTACGGAATTGTCGAATGGCTTACATGGCAAGGGTAACCACCAGACACCCTTCTGTTAATCGCTGCTTCAATACGCTGACCGTGTAATAGCCTGGGCGATGTTATCAATGACTGGAGAAAATCCATCGATCTAGAGCCCATATCAGCGACTGAAGGCCCCCGTTTAGCCGAGACTTTGAAGATACCCTTCACATATTGTTGGTCCCCTACATTGATGCCTAAACCCGCGGACTGGCCTGCACATCTCAACGTCTGTGGCTTTTTCTTTCGCTCTCCTCCAGACTTCACACCACCTCCAGACCTTGATGCATTCCTCCAAAGCGGGCCTCCGCCAGTGTATATCGGTTTCGGGAGCATCGTCATTGAGGATCCCCCAGCGATGACTGCCACACTCGTCAACGCAGTTAGGTCCTGGGGCGGCCGTGCGATCATATCCCGTGGGTGGAGTAATCTCGGTGAAGCACAATCAGACGATCAGATCTTTTATCTTGGAGACTGTCCGCATGAATGGCTGTTCCAGAAAGTCGCTGCAGTTGTACATCACGGAGGAGCGGGGACTACAGCATGTGGCTTACGATTTGGAAGACCCTCTCTTGTTGTACCATTTTTCGGAGAGTACGATATTCCCTATAATATTCTCTGATTTCTTCGCTAACTTGTCATAGTCAGCTATTTTGGGGAAATATGGTTGCATCCCGTGGGATTGGACCAATGCCCATTCCGCACCGGTCTTTGAACGCAGAGAATCTAGCGGAAGCCATCCGTTTTTGCCTACATCCCGATACCCTAGCAGCAGCTAGTGACCTTGCTCGTCAAATGAGCGAGGAAGCAGGAGTTTCTGCGGCGGCTGCATCTTTCCACCGCAACCTACCAGTCGATAAAATGAAATGCCAGTTTATCGATTCTGAACCCGCTGCATGGCAATTAAAACAAAACTCCAAGTCCCCTGTGAAGTTATCCAAGATGGCAGCGGGGATCTTGCTTGAAAACTCTCGCATTGATATAAAGGATCTGAAAGCGTGAGAGCATATATTCCAACCATCCCGCTTGCCCGTATCTACTAACACACATCTTGCACCAGATACGACAGTAAATCGATCTTCATCCAGACTCGGCGATGGGACCCCATCACAGGCGGGACATCCTCTTTACTCGGCATGTACAAGGATATCCTCACAGCATCGAGTGACGTCGTCATTCGGCCCTATAAGGAGCTTAGCCGCGCACGTCAGCAGAGCGAGCCTGAATTAGTAGTCATTGAGTCTACAAATCCCCAATCCGAGCGAAGTCCATCCAGGGGCATCTCACGTACTTCCGGAAGCAACCTCACAGATGAAGAGCGGAGGGTTATGGGCAAGGCAGTGGGGGGATCCGCCAAAAGCGTGGGTAGGATCATAGCCTACTACTACAAAGGCGTTCTGGTAGACATACCCGGAGCAGTGAATGAAGGTCTGAGAGCTGTCCCTCGGCTCTATGGCGAAGAGGTGAAAGATTACGACAATATCCACGACTTTAAATCCGGGGTGTCTGCAGCTTCAGATAACTTTGCACATGGGTTCTCCCATGGGCTCACCGATATCTTCCGACAGCCCTACGAGGGTGCCCAAAAGGATGGTATTCGGGGTGCCCTCAAAGGATTTATCAAAGGACCTATTGGAATGGGAACGAAAGCTGCTTCAGGTTTGTGACACACTCTCTATTTGCGCGACGAGTTGAATTATGCTAATAGACCATCTCTAGGTGCTTTAGGTTTAGTAGCCTATCCAGGGCAGGGCCTAGCCAAAAGCTTGCATTCTGCTATCCATTCCAAGACTCGGAAGCGACTTCTCCAATCGCGATTGAAAGAGTCTGAATATATGGCCAGACAATCAGCCAAGGCCCAATCGAGCTGCCTCTACGTCATTGAGGCATTTGAAGCTCAACAGCGGCAGCCTGGGAATACTCCTAGCTCAACCAATCTGGAACGCACAAGTTCCTAGGGATAAATATAATGAAGAAGATTTGCAATATCATGAATTTCGAGAATTTAGATCAAAATCGCACAGTCAGCTATATTGTTTAACCCCGCATAATTCTCGGGCTCCTCCGCGATAGGCTACGTGCCAACTCCGATGACACCTCACCTACACCACAACCTCTGCTTTTTTTTTTTTTTCGCATTGCACCTGTATTTGAATTTGCATCACCCGAGTTTCAATCGTATCCCGAAATACTATTGGACTACTCATCATCATGTCAAACTCCTATGCAAAATCCTTCCCTCGCCCAGAAGCGGGGTATACCCAATCATTTTGGCGCACACAACCGGATCTGCTAGATAACCATCAAACTACACCAGAACTACCTAAAGAAGCCGATATCCTAATTATCGGTGGTGGCTATGTCGGAGCCTCGGCCGCTTATCGCTTACTCGTAGAGAAACCGCAAAATCCAACCCCCAAGGTGGTGTTAGTTGAGGCCCGGGAGCTGTGTTCCGGCGCCACGGGGCGAAATGGTGAACTCCCATGAGATAGAATATGTTTATACAAGTCTAACCTATTCTAATCTTAAGGTGGCCACTTGAGACCAGATATCTCTTCATCAACAGCCTTGTTCACTGAACGCTATGGCATCGAAGCAGCAGCAGAGATTGTGCGGTTCGAGATCTCACACTTGAAGCTCATCGAGGAGCTAGTCCGTAAAGAGAACATTGACTGTGATCTCAATTTCACCCGCTCTTATGATATTTACTTTGATGAAGATGAGCTCAAGAAGGCAAAAGCCTTTTATGACTTTTTGGTTGACCAGGGGCTGGACTTTATGGACGATGCCAAATACATGTCTCAAGCCGAGACGCAAGACGTAAGTTGGAATGGGCTTTTGGGATAGTATGCATACGCCAATTTTCAAGATTCTGACAGTGTTTGTGTTAAGATGGCGCATGTCCGAGACGCCAAGGGAGGCTTTAGTTTTTCAGCAGCCCATCTCTGGCCTTACAAACTCATTACCCATCTCATTCGTATCGCCGTTTTCCGTGGCCTAAACCTACAGACCAATACACCGGTATCGGAAATTGCGGAAACTCCAAATGCAGATGGATCCTGGTCGGTCACTACCAGCCGTGGTGTTATTAACGCGCGCAAGGTTATCCTCGCGACCAATGCATACACCAGCGCCTTGGCCCCGGAGTATTCCAAAGCCATTATTCCCTGCAAAGGGATATGTAGCCAGATTTTCGCAGCACCAAGTGCACCCCACCAGAAACTGCCTGGTACTTATGTCATCCGATTTGGTCCGGAGGCGTATATTTATCAGATTTCCCGGAATGATGGGTCGCTCATTGTTGGCGGGGCGTCGCATCTTTTCAAAGATGATCGGGAGGCGTGGTATAATAACCCCGATGATGGGAACTTGATTAAAGTTGCTGTGGATTACTTAGATGGCTATATGCAACGAACTTTCCTTGGGTGGGAGGAGAGTGAGGCGGAGATCAAACATGTCTGGGCTGGTGGTATGTACAATTCCTGTCTACACTTTTCCCTTGATCTGAGGGTAAATTTTCTTCCTGCTCACCGCTTCTCTCGTTTCTAGTCATGGGATACAGTGCAGACTCGTTGCCTCATGTTGGTAGTATTCCGGGTAAACCGGGTCAGTTTATCGCGGCCGGGTTCAATGGTCATGGTATGCCTGTGGCATTCCTGTCTGGTAAAGCCGTGGCGGATATGGCGCAGAGCTCGGTTGCATTTGAAGAAACTGGTTTACCCAGATTGTACAAGACGTCACTTGCTAGACAAGAGCCAGTTTTTGATGATATTCTAGGCTAGGCATGTTTGATTGGGCCGTTCTTTTTTTCTCCTGCTATTCTCAAATTACTTCAAATTACTTCCCAGGAGTAGTCAATAGTTCTGAATACACACAATAGCTGGATATGCTGACGCATCTATCTACACTTCGATTCGAACCCACTTTCCTCGTCAACGCTCCTTCCCTAATAATATTTGAGCTCACCGCTATGATTGTTTACATTTTACCTATTGCGTATGTTTTTAGTGTTCCCAATCTTGGAAGGTTCACTTTCTAAATACAAACCATGTGCCGCCGAGTTTCACGGACTCTAAAGTATGTGTCCCATCTACATAATCTTGGCCTTGTTCTCCCAAATGCAAAAACCATGTCGGATCTATGTACAAGCTTGACAGGTGAGGTGGTGTTCTTAAATCTCGCCTTCCCTGTGATCCTACCACCGGCGCTTGGCCCGTGATGCCATAGACTTAGTCTGTGGAAGTTCTGAGGGCAAAGTATATGCGGATCCGCACCCACTCAATATATATATATATATCTACGACCTTCACATTCAATTCCTCCAAGCGTATACAATAATGATAACATTAACACCGTACAACAATGAAGAAAGTAATTTTACATGCAAAGTTGCTTAATGAATCTAGCTAACTTATGTACAGACTCTCAATGCCTAGCATACCATACCTGCCTATGCTGCGATGAAGGCCTCTACCCGGTAGTTCATAGTGTCAACCAACCGGTCAAAGTATATTGTACATATTCCTCTCCTAATAGCCCCACACCTGTTCAATTAAATACAAAAAAATATATAAATGGTTGATCAATAGTTCTAGAAAGGGCTGTAAGGTCGGCATGGATACGATCGATTATTTCTTTCAGCTTTTTACAAGGTATGTATATTCAATGGGGGTTGAATCCGGCAAACACGGCAGCAATGCCATCGCTCTTCTGAGTTAACCCTTGAATAATTGTGGCCGTATGAATAGAAACTTAATATTTTTCCATTTAGGATCTGATAAAGGGATCTAATATCCGACCTCGCCAAAAAAAAACATTTGAATGGGGCTGTGGGTCTAAACCCGCAAGGTACTTGTTTCTCGGAACTACACAGAGAAGCAACCTTGGAATGCCCTATATGACTTCAATAGTTGATGAGAATTGAAAATATCGCTATCATATCACACGGGGATTCCCCCAAAACATCATCCTTATTGCTGATCTCATTTATTATCTTCCAGTACATTCAAATTTCGTTGACAGAAGCTCGAACCCACTCGAGGTCGAAACCCGCCGGGTCCACTTTATTCCCCCCATATTTACTCAAGCCCATCGCTGTCTTGGCCTTAATCTGCCGGGAAAATGACACACAATCTCCTGCGCCGATCACGGAAGCATAGACCGGATAACTTCCGGAGTATGTATGCTCCACTATTAATGGGGCTATGCCCGCCAGTGTCAGGTTCGCACATGGCTTGGTTTTATCGGGTTTGGTTGCCATGAATTTCAGATCACATGAATTAGGAAGACTATGCCGACGTGTTCAAGACATGACCAAAAAGTATACAAAGTTTACTCCTAAATTCGATGGAGGCTGTGTGTTAGGAGAGGGCTACGTCGAAGTGCATGGTGGAATGTGAGTAGCTTGATTGAGTAGAGAGTTTTAGAAGCTAGGTTCTACGAGCTATGTAATCTGACACTCTGTTAATTGATTCAAACATGATTCGAATTTTTGACTACCAAGCTACGAAGACACGAACAGATAGACATAGCAAGTCGTAAATTGAATTGAGTATATCAAACATATAGAACAACTGAAGTACAAAAAGTCCAAAGTCATATAAGCACAAGAACGTCACTCATTACCGTCACCAACATTTTTTAAACAGCTGCACACTGCCACTTCCCGTAAATCATATCTAGAAGACACCCCCCATTTTTCTAAATCACCTGATCTTGCGAAGACCAATGGGAGTCTCATCCTCGGCTTTGTACTGAGGCGCCTCCTCATTCCAGTTCACATTCCGGGTGGAAGCCTTCTGGCGCATGACGCGGTACTTCTGCAGCAGTCTTCGGTAGAAGAACATCAAGGCAATTCCAAGACCCAATGCAACGACTGATCCAACCACAATACCCGCAATAGCGCCTCCAGAAAGACCGGAGCTCTTATCGCTCGAAGAACTAGTGCTTGAGCTAGAAGAAGAAGAAGAAGAAGAAGAAGATCCAGATGTGTCCTCATCAGTCACATCGGTGAACTCCTCCGAGGTCACATTGAAGCAAGGGACTTGGTAGGTGAACTTGCTTGCTGCAACGTAAGTGATATCGGCGCATGCGTAGTAGGTTTCGTTTTTGTCGGTATCAAAATCAGAGGTGTATTTGATCTGGAAGGTGGCGTTGTTTCCCTCTTCCACGTCAATAGATGGGTTGGGGACAGAGTAGCATTCGTGTCCGGGCATGATATCATTAAGACTTGAGCCATCAATGAAGGACTCGAAGTCGGCATTGCTAGTTGGGTCTAAGGGAGAGTTAGTGCTGAAAATATGAGAATGATCTAGCTTGCTTACTGCTTTTGTGAGAGATGGCAATTTGCACATTCCATGACTCGTCCTGAAGTACAAGTGCGAGCTTGCCGTTGACTGTAGTGTTTTGTCAGTAAATGTCTTTTCTGAGGTTGTGAGAGAGATATCCTCTTACTCAATGGGAAGTCAGTTCGGTTTACAGGCCCGGTGGATGAGCCACATGGGGCATTGTTGTCGTAAGCTGCACCCCAGAGACGATCAGCGGGCCACAGGAACGCGGCCGGGCCCATCTCTGTGCTCGCTTCGTCGCCATGAGCGGCGTATGCTCCAATGGCAGAGGCAGCAAGTAGTGCGACGTAGTTCTTCATGATTATATTGAGAAACTTGTTATACCCAAAGTTATGACAGGAGAAAGACGGTTGTAGAAAAGCGTTGAAGGCAAGGACGGGAGATCGCCATTTATAAATTTCCAGTCGCCCTCGACCTCGCTTACAAACTATGACCGATATCAAAGACCGTTTACAATATAGATGTGTCTCGGTTCAAGCAGAATCCACTGCCAAGCGCGTTGAAGAGCGCCAAGCACGTGGCAAACGGAGTTTCCTCGATGTTATGGCCGGGAATTCTCTCACCGGAGTAGGACCACTGGAAGAAAACCATCGAGGTCGAGTCACAAGTCACAGGCCAAGATACTAACCTTGGTTCTATGGTTTGCCAATAAGAGGGAATTAATCTATCGAAGCCGGAGAAACCCGCGGATAAAGATTATACAGGAAAAAAAATGAAAGTCGGGATCAGATTAGATCAATCAGATAAGATAGGTGGGTCTTCCAAGCTCAGTTTTGTCACTTTTAGTTGGTTCGCTTCCACTAGTCCGCATAAAACCCAGAGTTCAACTGAGACATGGCTAAAATGGGTAATCTCAGCCGAAAAATTACCAGTTTCCGAAGGCCTCGTGCCACTGTAGATAGCGTTTACTCCGAAATGAGCATTCAGCCAAGACAAAGTTTCTCCGAAGATCCCACGGGGGAATAAGTAGAGGCTGAACTGCCATCACTTTGGTATCTATATCGCCAGTCTTTACAATCTTTCCAATTGCAAAAAACCCAAACTTGTCCCTCGTTTAATCATCCCCTAATACCATCATGCATTTCGCCAACGTTGCTGCTTTTGCCTGCGCTGTTATCAGTGTCAGCGCCTTCGAGTTCCCGGAATTTGTCCCCCTGCACAAGCGCCAGGAACCCGGAACTCCTGCGTACGAGTGCCACGCTAGCTGCGGTATGTTCCATATCCTATAATCCTGCAACCAGAACTCAAACTAACAGATCAGGTGCCATCATCACCGCCGGCCGTACCGATGGATACTGTGATGCCAGCGATTTCCAGTCCACCCTAACCGATTGCTTGAACTGTGCTCTTGAGTTCGACATCTGGAAGTACTACGGATCTTCCGTGACCACGTCTGCTGAGGGCTGTGGGTTGGATGCCACCCCGGTCGAAGTGACTTCCACCACCACTGCAGCGGCTTCTTCTACCACCACTAAGGCAGCTTCCACCACCGCTGAAGTTTCTTCTGCCTCTGAGGAAGCCTCTTCCGCTACATCTGTTAGTACTACCTCTACCGAGTCTGCAGTTGAGAGCGCCACCTCCGATGTGACCACTGGTGCCGTGACCTCCTCTACTGCTCCTGCTGTCGTCTCCACTGTCTCCACTGCCACCAGCACCCAGCGTGTTCCTGTTTCTGCTCGCCCCTCGTCATTGATCCCTTCGTCAGCACCTACTGGAAGCTCGGTTGGTTTCTCTCTTCTACTACTTACCAGTGAGCTCATAGCTAACTTCGAATAGACTGCTGCCACTGCTACCTCCTCCCCCGTCTACACTGGTGGTGCTTCGACCAATGCCGCTAGCGGACTTGTGTCTGGTGCTATTGTTGGTTGCGTCATCGCTGCCTTCTTCTAAATATCGATATATATCGTTACTTGAAGGAAGGTGCGAGGAATATTTGTGAATGGTGTATACTTAATTCCTTCTTGTGACGGGTCTTCCGGCTGTCTACCACATGCAGCAGTAAACTTTTGTGAGGCCGGGTAATCCACCTTTTTATCTGGAATCTACGAAGTTGAAGCTGCATTCTCTATAGGATAGCCTCAATATAATGACTACATATGTACATGTGTAGTTGTCCACTTAGATGTCCGAACTTTAGAGTAAAACCGAAACCTAGAACTACATAGAGATTATGTGGGATAATATACAGCATATTACCATTAAGCCTCTGCAAATTTGATAGATAGCCCACATTTATGAACCGCATGGGGCTATATCCGATATATTTCTCCCGGGCTTGTTTGGCAATTTATCCTACTACTGAGTACGATATGGATACAAATTTCACTCATTCCCCTTGCGACTTTCCGCACAAGTATTTTTTCATATTGAAGATCCCTCTGATATACTTAGGGACGTTTGAAGCATGCGGCCCTAGCCTCCTGATCACCTCCCCCTAATATTGACACGCCCCGCCATCAACACATCCCTTCATTCTCCCTGTCCAGTGAATCAAGGTTCGTGTCTCAATCAACCCACAGCCAACCCAAACTGTCCTCTCCCTTCAGTAATCCTGAACCCCCACGTCTTCCCTTCGTATCTCTTTCTTTTTTTCACGGCCACAGGAAACCTTCCCCCAATTTCACACATGTTGGATATGGTTGCCGAGCTGCTCATTGGTGGTTCGTGCCAGACGTGATCGACTGGAGCAATGTCATATCGCAATGTAATCATGGCTACCAGTGCGAGTATCTCACTTGTAGAAAAGTGGCGCCCGGGGCAGATCGCTGGGGAAACACCAAATGTCATAAACCCGCCGATACGCCGTGGATCCTTTATCTTGTCGCCATCATTCTTGAATGTTGCGGTAGATTTCATAAATCTTCGTGCTTCGAAATGGTCAGCCGAAGCTCCCCAAGCATTTTTATCTCGGCCTAATTGCTTCGCCGGCATGAAGAGCATGGCTCCAGATCCTAGAAAGTATTTATCCGCCAGAACGACATCCTGTGTCACGAACCGGATGGTTACCATTTTTGTCCTCGTCCGTAGAGACTCTTGGTATATCGAGAGAAGAAGGGGACAATTATCGCGGATGTACCCCATATCAATAATATGGGTACCGTCGGATGCAATCTTGAGGGCATTCTGCTCTATCTCCTTCCGTGTCTCTTCCAACAGCTTTGGTCGAGAGAAAAGCTCAAAGTGAACCCAAAACGCAGCAGGAACGGTATTTGCCAGTAAACCTAAAAGCAGGGGCATTTCTGAATATGCTATTTCTTCGTGGGTAAGTCCAGCCCCAAGAAATGATCTGTACCGCATGGCTAGTAGCTCCGAGGCGTCTTCATGACCTCCGAGATCGAAGTAACGTTTGAATTCAGCGCACAGAACCTTGCGTGCTTTCCAGGCCTTGGGGGCAATGAGCCATGGCACAATGTTGGCCAGAAGTAATGCCACATTGCATTCCAGTTCCCTATTCTGATATTTAAGGGATATCATAGCCAATTCTAGGACAGATAAACTCACCAGAATGTGTCTTCGATGTATTTATTCTTGAATGGGTTTAAATTCCCGTACGTAGCATCTGTACTGGCCATGGTAATTGCATGCCGAAGCCATCCGTTTAGATCAATGGTCTCATGATTGCCCATGTCATCAATCATGGGAAGTAACTGCCGAAGCATTATCTTGTTCATTCTGTCAAGAGATCTCCCAGCAAGAACGAGTGTCATATCATGTACAATTCTGGAAATAGGACTTGGGCCACCGTTCTGATCACACAAAGTGGCGAGCTTCTCACGTGAAGTTTGACATAGACTCTTCTGCATGAATTTCAACAACGGTTCCAATGTAATGGCGGTGGGGTGCTTCTGAGCAGCCCGCACGACGGTAGTTGAGGATGTCACAAAGAGCTTGAAGGAAAGTATGTTGACTGCGAAGATCGGGTGCTGAGGGTGTCTTTCACTGTCGATTATGTTGCGTTAGTTCAGAATACAAACAATAGGATAAGTAACTTGCCATAACAGGCCAAAATACACCGGGCCATGTTGGATGAGACCGATCAGATGGCCCAAAAATGGAATCTTGCTTGATACCGAGGGAGGCTCACGACTTGGGCTATGGAGCAGAGTGTACGATGCGAATGCAAGTACGATCACTACCACACCAAAGATTCCCAGATCATAGAGGTCTAGCATGATCAAGATAGCTCAAGGAGACTGAATCTGGTAGAACTGAAGAGTTGCTAGTAATGTATGAAGCAGTGTTGAGGTGGTAGATATTTCAATGACTGGCCTGCTGAAACCTTCGAGCCATCCCAGATAGGTAGTCGCTGCTCAAACGATGTTCCACGAATTACGGGTGTAACGCACGCCCTCCTTAGGAATTACTCGAAATGTATTAAGTCCATGATCACCGGTTTTCGTCAAAGGTTTTCTTCAGCGGCCCTGGAACGCCATGGCCTTATTTGTAGAATGGTGCTGGGGTGCTTTACTGTCTTGATGCCTAAGGCTGCCAATCCCCTGATTGCCACCTTCCTTCTTGTTAGGTAGATTTTCGGTTCAGGGCTTGTTTCTTTCATAATCATCTATCGGAGCATTGGAGATATTTTCTCCCATAGCTTGGCTATCAAGTGATGATGTGATTGAGAGAGGGGGCGCCTAGTCGACACCTTTCATTTGCTGGGCTTAATCTCTTCACGTCACCCCCGCTCACCAAGCCAATTGATATGACACTTTTTATGCTAAATGAACATTTTATTAGAAGTCGGTGAAGGAATCTCTGCCTATGTGGTTGATAAACCTGAGGCTAATGGCGTCTAGCGATATGGTACTCTTGAGCAGAATCAGGTTCGCTCAAGGACTTCGTGATGAAGCACTCCGATTAGCGTTTGGTGCTCTAGAATTCCGAAAGCAATCCCTAGACGAGAGGTTCAAGGTCTGTGACTCGCTCTATCAGGTATCGATCCTTCGTGACGCAAGAAACTCTGAGCTAGCGTAGTGAGTGGAAATATTGCAGCCTAAGTGCTTTGAAATATTGACGTTGTTCTAGGAAGTTACTTGAACAGTGCATGAAGATATCCGAAGCCCTTCCATAGGTGGAGGGGATAGGACATCTCGCACGAGCAAGCTTCAAGACCTCCCAAGTTCTAAAACAGCTAGGGCAATCCCAAGAAAGTATACTGTATCTTGAAAGGGCATTCAATTCGCGAGAAAGTATCAAGAGGCTGGATGGAGACTGGGAGAGGTCACTTTGGAGTGCTTCCGATTTTGATAATCTGGTCCCATGGATGCTGTGGTGATCTAAAGTTGTGACAGGATAAACGAAACTCGACACATTTGATGACTTTTTGCGCGAAATCATTCGAAACGTTTGGGCCATCTAGGACTGTTTAGCAGGTTCCAGTAATTTTCTTCAATCCCTATTGCATCAAGTCATGGACACATCTTTGGCATCCCTCTGAGTCAAAAAGAGAGATTGAAAAACGTGGTAGTTTCATGAGTATGTTTAATCTAGCTGAGTGTCATCCATAATCTGCCTATTCGACACGAATTCTGGGTATATTTCGCTCTAATATTATTTACACAACAAACTTTCAAATCATCAAACCACCTGGGCTCTATCTATACAGCGGATTCCTTGAGAGCAGCCTGCTCTGCCAATGCCTTGAGAGATCTCTTCTCTTTTTCAATGCCGTTCCGTCGCTGCGCCGTATCACACAACTCCAGATTCCCACATTCACATTCCCCATCCCTGAGCCACCGATAAGTGATACTCCACCGTTTCCCGCGCGGCCTCACCGTCCCATCCGGGAGGGTATCATTCTTCCGCTTCCTAATACCATGCGTCCAATGCAGCCTCGAGTCGCCGCTCATCTGGATCATGCTCCGTGGGGTCAAGTCGACCTCGATGCGCTCCTCGCCCCGGCGGAATATCATGACTGCCGGCGCACCGAGAGATAACGCGTAGAGCTGGTCATATGGCTTGTGTGCATCTACGTGGGGCGGGATGCCCGCACCTGGAGGATAGTACTGCAAACAGACCTGGTCTGGAGGTCGGCTCTCGGTTGTTGGGATGAGAGGTTGGAGCCATTCTGGGAATTCCTTATATGGGATATCGGGGTCTATCCCGAATGTTTTATAATCGAAACTGTAGCCGTAGTGCAGTGATATCCGGCCAGGGCGGTCGGGCCATTCTAGCTCGTTGGAAAAAACCGAGATGAGACGTTGCTCGTGTTCTGCATCGACAAAGTCTTCTTGCCAGAAAATGCCGTATGGCTCAGTGGGCAACTCGTGGAAATTGCTCCGATCTCCCATCCTCTTATGTCTCAGATCTTGGTGGGAATCAGGTGCGCGGAAAAGCTTTGCGCGTAACATGTAAATTTCAAAGTCTGATTTTTCGGATGATCGTATTGATTACTGGTATCAATACAAAACTCTGAAGATTTCACACACTACTGTATCCTCGAAATACACCATTTAATGTTTTGCTCTTGTATTGCGAAATTACCAATTATCGTCTCTTCAGTCGAGTGCATTCCATTTTCATCCAACACACAGAATTTATTCAAGCGCTACTAAATGCTACGTATATTCTTTTCATCAACCCAAATTCAAATCGCTTTCATTTTTTTCAACGTACTATCAATAGTGTGCTTGATTATTGGCCGATTTTGGCTCTCTGTCTGCGCCATTGGGAATCGGTTCTAGCACTAAACACCGAAATTACATAGTACGGACTGTTCCGCCTGATATCATCTAATGGTCTACATACTAGTTCGAAAATGCGACAGGATTCCTGATTTCTAGTGTGAAATTTCAATATCCTGCTATGATCACTTGTCATTGCCTCCAATCTATCAAGTATCTCAAATTGGCCGGCCAGGATTCCGGTAACATATGTATAAACTTGAGGTATTGTAATCCAGGCAACTTCATTTCGAAATAGTCTACATTATCAGAGTGGCAGACATTTTTTCCGGCTGAAAGGTTAGATAGTTGGTGTCTTCAGTATGCATATGTGAATGGATATTTTGGCATCGTAACAACAAATACTTCAACGGGATATTACGATTGGCTTATGAGAGTCTATAAAAGGGAGGAAAACCCTAATCAAAGTCTAAAAACACCAGAATCGAAACTATGCGAGGAACCCCGGGGTTACGTTTGGAGTTGAGACTCAACTCGGAACTCCGGTTGCGTTAGAGCTTTCAACCACAGCAACCATCTAGTATTTAAAGAAGAGGATTAATATATTTACATAGAACATCTTCAAATTGTTCATGCGTCCAACCAGAATCATGTACGACATCGTTCTTTTTGGGGCGACTGGGTTTACCGGCAAACTGTGCGCACACTTTATCTCGCAGAATTACCCTTTGACCACCCAATGGTGCATCGCAGGGAGATCACTATCTCGCCTAGAGGCTGTGGTAGATGAGTTAAAGCAACTATGCCCGGATCGAGTGGCTCCAGGTATGACTCAACCGTTGATTATGATTATCCAGGTCGGACCTGACACCCACAAAGACATTGAGATCATAGAGCTAAACCCTTCGAGCCTAAACCCTTTGATACAAAGAACAAGGGTGGTGATCAATGGAATTGGGCCATTCCACCGTTTCTCAAGTCCGATTGTGTCAGCATGTGCCACACTTGGCACCCACTATGTCGACTTGTAAGAACTCTTCTGCACCCTTTGAGCAATTACTTTCAGCTTATTGTTTGCAGTACTACAGAGATTCCGTGGATTCAAGAGATGATTCAAAAATATGGCGAATTTGCTCGCCAGAGCGGGTCACTAGTGAGTATAAACGACATTCCATGGATCAAGGATAGCTTAGAGCTGACATTAGGCAGTTGATCCCCGGCCTGTCTACATCAACCCCATCGGATATCCTCGCATGGCTGATTGCAAATAAAATGCAAGAGGCATACTCTACCGACACAGCTGGGGTAATTAGTTCTGGAAAGCTTGAGTATGGTCATTACGCGGTCACTGTGGAGTATTAGCTAATTCATATTTTCCAGTATCAAGGCAATGAGTGCGGGCTCTCTGAACACGGTCCTTGACACATTCGAGACGTATGGTTCCGGTTGGTACCTATATGGTGACTCGTCGATATTGTCTGCACCATTTCGGAAACAGACAATGTCACCCTGGATCACGCGTATCCTCGGTTATCGACATACACAAGAGCTGGGTACTTTAGCGACGTCCTTCACCGGCCCAGGCAATCAGGAAGTTGTTTACCGTAGTGCCTCTCGCAAACCAGATCTCTACGGACCCGACTTTCACTTTGAAGAGTATCTCCCGGCAAATGGTGTGATTGCCGCTGTTTCTGTGCATCTCCTCACCAAGTTCCTTCTCGTTCTTTTATCCATTCCATTTATTCGTCTGCTCATACGAAAGCTGGCGGCGCGCCTTGATTCAGCTCCCGATGTGAAACAACTGCGGCAAGTGGAGCGCGCAGAGTTCCGTGCTATTGGAAGCGGGAGTGGGGATGCTAAACCTAGAGTGTGGGCATCTTTTGTGCGAGAGGGAGCGCTCTATGAGCTTACTGCACTCGTCACTTGTATCGGGGCAAGGGTACTGCTTGAACAGAAGATCAGTGCCGACAGGGCGGGGAAGGACGCTCGTGGACATGGCGGAGTGGTCACACCATCATTTTTGGGAATGGAATATGTCGATCAGCTGAAAGATGCTGGGATCGAGATTGAAGGTGGTTTGTTGTAAAGGAAAACTTGAATTTACTGATCATTCTTGTGTTTGGTATTTGTTCCTTGCCGATCAGGCTTTGATTTCTGTTTTTAGTACATAGTGGATATAGATAGAGCAAGTCTGCCAGTTTCCATAGAATTTGAACCGTATCTTTATGTTCAAGGTTGTTTATACTAGCAGTATTGTTTGTTAGGCACTATCGCTAAATAGTTAACTGCTAGTACTACTTCGTCGTTTCCAAAGTTGTGTTAAGGTATCATTTATCAAGAGCCCTATGCCCTCTAGCAATTATTTTCGTTATCCGTTTGATACATTTTCCACTTAGTATTCCAATTTGGCTTTCAAATATCGATGCTCATCCGTTGGGAAGCAAAGAGCCAAGTAATACTATATACCGCCAGGCTTCTGGTAGCAGAAGCGAAAATGCGTTTCAATCGGAAATCCAGAGGCATTTATGTAAAGGTAGGATTTTTATGCTCAATAATAAACCCTCGTGATTTTTTTGGAAGTAATGCACCAGATCTACTACTATAATATAGCCCGGAGGAAGTGTATTTTTGTGTTGACACTATCTCTCAGTCCGGAGTCTACTTAAGAATCCCTCGCAACCCGGAACTCCGAGTACCAGTCAGCGCATAATGGGGATCGGCTACTACCACATCATTTCTAGGACTATTTATACCAAATAGAACTTCCGCATGGTCTTGTTTATCGCAAAAATCCCCTCAATTCCAAATTTTCCATTATGTTACACAAAGTTCATGATATTAGCTGTGAGCATCTGCTGGTAAGCAAAATCTTTCAGTATTATCCACAAAAGAAAAACAAACTCTCATATATAGAAAATAGATCACAGGTGTTACTGGCTATATTGGATTCAAGACGCTCACAATTGCGCTCGAACGCGGGTATCGCGTTCGGGCTATCGTCCGAAGCGAACGCAATATCAATGAGCTGAAAGATAGAAGCACGACGATTGCACAGAGTCTAGATCAAAAACAACTCCAATTTGTTGTCATTTCAAACTTTCTTGAGAAAGACGCAATTTTCAAATCCCTGGAGGGCATTACGGTCATCATTCACCTTGCATCGCCACTAGCAATCGAGGTACGTAGTACAACGCAGTCACTCAGTTGTTTCTCATAGCTTACATAGCTTTTGGTAGACCAGTGATTATGATGTTGGAATTGTTAAGCCAGCCATCTCGATGGTGACTACTGTTTTGGAAGCTGCCACTCGCGTGACATCAATCCACCGCGTCATCTTAACATCTTCATGTATGCAATTATCAGCTCTCATTTTGACCATCAAAGAAGCTAACTCCATCCATAGGCGTGACCTTAATTCCATTCGAATGGAATATCAACCCCGACAGCGAGCGACTATATATAGGTTTGTCTTTCATTCCATCGATTTATAGTTGCATGCCACCTAATGATTTATTTCAACATCTAGCGGATGATGTAAATACCAGTGTTACTGGTCCTTTTACCACTGCAATGGAAGCTTACTGGGCATCCAAGGCCCTCGCAAGAGTCGCAACTAAAGCATTTGTTAACCATGCGCGCCCGAAATTCGATTTCGTCAATCTTCTACCTTCGGTGGTAATTGGACCAGACGACCGCCTAGACGCAGATCCAACTGCAACGGTCGACAGTCTTCTTCAGGGTACTCGGGCAGCGGTCCTTGCACCCGCCCTGACATCGTCGCTGAACTCCTCGTTTCCCTATGTTGGAACACCAGTTCATGTTGTGGATGTTGCGCGCGCACATATTGATGCGGTAGACGCTGGTTTGGTTCCTGGAAATTCTGAGTATATTCTCTCTTCAGATACTCCGAATGGTGTGGTCTGGGATAGGGATGTCCAAGATGCCTGTAGGAAATTCTTTCCAGCAGAGGTGGCAAGCAAAATATTGCCGCTCGAAGGGTCTTTGACCGCAATCAGATGGAGGCTGAGTGCCGGGCAGACGGAGGAAACGTTTGGCTGGCAATTCACTGGGTTTGAGGAGACTGTGAGGCAGCTTCTGTCGCAGTACTTGCGACTTGAAGAAAGGTCGAGAAAGTAATCTTAAGGTCGTCTCATCAGTTGTGTTGAGGATTTCTAACTATAGATACAACAAGACGTACAATAAATATAAAATTGAGCACTTGTTTATCGACATCAGTTACAATTCTTTTAATTAGCCGAAAAAAAAAGATCAGAGTGTAGACTCAATGCTATCCTGTGCCTCGTTTGGGTTTGAGGTATGTATACATCCTCCAACCTCTGCGCAAACATTACACCAGCATCTAATTTGGAAGATATACGGCCTCCACGTTGTTCCCGTCCAAATCAAGTACAAAAGCTGAGTAGTACGGCTGTCGACTCATTTCTTTCCTGATCCCTGGCCCTCCATTATCTCGTCCACCATGTTGCCTGCGATAGAATTAGCCGGCAGCCATATAATAATGCAAGTCATATGCGATATTATGATGGAAAACTCAAACTTACAGTGCTAGCCGGTAAAATTGATCCACAGCCTCGCGGCCTAATTTGGCTGTATTAGCAATTTCTCAGAATTCCAATACCGGGTATACTCACTTGGGGCATCAAACGCGATATGGGTTGGTAGAGGATCTTTGTCTTCGGGCAGTTTCTTGAGCCAGAAATAAGGATAGTCACTGCCGTAGCCGATGAGAGCGTCGTTGTTTACACGAATCATCTCGGTATACCCGATCGGCTGCAGGATGGCACGATAAAATGACCGCAGAGGTGTGTACTTGGCAGCGGAGGCCCAAAAGAAAATATGATTGACTGTCATTGTTTCACTGAAAGTTGACTTGAACCTGACTGAGAAGTCACCTTTGCTTCACTTGCGTGGGTGCACGGGCTTATATGCCATTCTCCAGACCCCACTCGATAAGCAGCCCGGAGTTCCGAGTTAAATTGAACTTCATTTCATTCAACGCCCACCTCATCTGCCCCAAGAGCAACCAAGCTCCACAATCGAAATGAAATCCACCGAAAAAAATGCCGACTGTCCGTTCTGTGCCACCCAATTCAGCCATCGTACGTCGGGATCGTTGCTAACCTGAACCCCGAACTAAAATCCATACAGGATCCTCGCTTATGCGCCATCTAAAGAACAAGTGTAACAAATCTCAACAGCAGAATCAAAGACGCAAATCCTGCCATCAGTGTGTCGCCGATAAAGCCAGGTGCAACTTGAAACGCCCCAGTTGCTCTCGGTGTTCTATGCGAAGCATACCCTGTCAATACTCCAGCGCTGATACAACCGACACTCCGGAAGTCGAGAATACCGAGGTCTTAATCAACAATGATGCCGCGACCCTTTCTTTACCGCAGACATCACTCATGATCCAGCCACAAGAGCTCCAATCAATCTTCGATCCTAATTTATTTGATTCCTTTTTCTCAGGTCTAGGTCCCTGGGATTCTACACAGCACACAAGTCTTGCCTTGCGTTCTCCACAGCCCGCCACGAGCCTGGAATTCCTATCTCTTAATAACAGCAGTGGATGCGAACCACTAGAGCTCATCCGAGCTATCTCCACCCCAGGTCCTCGGTCGGATTCGCCAGCAGAAACAAATTCTATTGCCCTGGCAAATCATAGCATGGAGCTTATATTCCGAGTTCTTCGAACTTGGCCAAGAATGCTCGCTGAAGAGTTTCAACTTCCTCCTATTTTCCACTATACCCAAATTACACCAAATAAAACCCTACCATCGCCACTAGCAAAGTGCATAACACTGACCAAAATGTGGCACGGACAATGCGAAGGTGCGGAAGACATGGTGCGCAAAACAATTCTAAAGGAACTAGACAGTATCATAGATCAGGTCAGTCTCTTCTCTTGTTCTTCGTTGTTCTGACTGAACCGAATTCGGATTGTAGTCTGAACAACTCGATGAGACAACCTTGTTAGCAGTCCTACAAGCAGTGGTCGTGTATACGATCATTCTGATCTCTCCATCAGCGAGGTCACCACGCCCCCTAGTTGACCATAACATCATCTTCCGTAAAGTGGAACTGCTAGTCTATCATGTGGTCCATGCAGGTCTATTCCTTCAGGAAGAAAGGACACAAATGAGACCCTCATGGGAAGCCTGGGTACACGTAACATCGAAGCGTCGTGCGGTACTTGCCTTATATCTTCTCCACTGGGCATACTCGGTGTTGCATAAGGTCCCTTGTTTTGACTGTAGGGACCTCGGATTCATGCCTGCGCCAGCGGCAAAGGTGCTTTGGCAGGCACAGACAGAGCAAGAATGGAACACTCGTTATATCCATTGGCTGTCGCGGTGGAGCGGTCGGGGGTATCTGCAAGCTGAATTTGGTAAGATCAAACCAGGCGTCGTGATGGATTCGCGAGCGGAACGTTGGTTGGAAGAAGCTGATGAATTTGGATTCATCATGATATCGATAGGTATGTAATGATTCCAGTAGTGATTAACGAGGGATTTAGGCTGACTTCTGTAGTCAACGCTACTGAGTTTGATCCGCCGGCACTTAAGCCATTGGCTTGTTGAATCACAATGAAGACGGTAGAAGACCAGGCAACTCTTGTAAACGGTATCATAGCCATTTGATGACCTGATAAAAGCTTTTTTTCTTCTTAAATTAGAAAATTGTTAATACAGTCCAGGGTCCGTTTATTTGAAGGGGTTTGGGCGGCGTGGCAGCCTGAGGGTAAAGATGCCCCTTTTGTTTTCCCATAACCCCTTTCCTTATCACGAGGACTTTCTTCTCCGTACCTACCTAGCCACTCCCATACTAATCCATGGATGGATATTATCTTGTTAATAAGGTTGAGATGAATCTTGTTCAACTAAAGCTAGGGAGTGACGAGAAAGGCTCGTTCTGCCATAAATGAGGGCCAGAATGATAGGGCTAGCAAGTTCACCAGATGCCAGAGCCCTTGAAGGATGGAAGTTTGATGAAAATGATCAAACGAATGGCCCTCCATAAATTTTCAGTGAATGATTTCCATTGCCAACCTCATTGGGGATGAACTAGATATCGCGTGGGTATTTGAAATTGCGCCAGCGACGTGCTCAATGTGTGACAAACAGGAGTCATGGCCTGGAAATTTGTTCAACTTGCTACATCCATATGTATATACTCAATCTGATACTGCCTTCGTTTGCCTGTCATGAAACAAAGATCTTTTCGCTAAACCTACTTGGTATTCCGTTTGCTGCCTTTACTTCCAACACTTTGTATTGCCTTGGTTTGGTTCAAATCTTGAATAAGAGGTGTAAACGGGGCTCCTTTTCTTTACGTCTCTAAATCTCGCCCAACCTAGTGGAAGCGGTGTGTGAAATGCAATCTGACTCAACGTCCCACGATGTATCACAATTTACCTCATCATCCACGGCTGATAAAGCTCGCCACAAGCGCACCCGGCTTGCACATGAGATATTTGAGCATCACACATGTCTTCGCATGATCCTAGATTGTTACGAAGGGATTATTCAAAAGAAATGGCTGAAGAAAACTCGAAACAAACGACGACGGATTTTACTGCAGGCATGGCCAGAAATGAGTGCGCAGCATGCGCCAGACCTTCAACCAGAGCTCCAGGATAATTACCCCGAGCCAAGTAAGGAAGCGTATAAATGGCCTGATATCAATTTGGAAGATTTGACGACACCGAAACTCTTCCTCATCCTCCTCAATGCCCGAGGTCGCAATCCGCCCTCGCTTTTTGTGGGCTCCGATAACGACTCCTACGAAGTGGGATATTTGAATGGTAAAATCTCCTTGATTTCCCTAGAAAAACATACGATGATGTCCACCGGCCGCGACAATGCTAAGGAATATGGTAATATCTTTGAATGGAAGAATCACCGGGAGGCACATCACTGGTTTATCTCTGGACGCGGTTTATCCCCCGGTGAGGGCTCTGCGTGATGGAAATACAAGTTCGTATTCTACGGTTCCTACTCGTTTGTTGCTTTTCGATCATGGAAATCCCTGCTGAGGCGCTCATGTCCCCAGATACGCTCCAGAACACCTTGACTGACGTCCCAATTCAACCAGAACCACCCGTATTGTCGACTTCTGAGCCCGGTGTCAACTCTCTAGCTGCAACAGTCGCTGAGGCGCGGTACCGTGTACCTAGCCAGATAAATATTGACCGTCTGTTGGGGATCATGGGGGCAAAATTAGCGGCAGCTGAAGATCACATCTGGGGACTTCGTGAAGACCCAGGTTACTTCGCTGATGCTGCCCTGGATATCTGGGAGCACCGTCCAGAGTCAATCATTGACTTCAATGGCGAAAAGCATTCTTACATGAAGGGGCCCTCGTTCCGGGCCATTTGGGACCGCATTCTACAGCAACTGGTTATGGAAGCGTACATGTTACTAACCTATTGGGATGAAATGTACTCGCGAATTGCCCATCTACGAGACTTACTTCACAAGCACGCGGGGGATCTCAAACCCGAGATCCAACTACCATCAGAGCTACTGAGAGCTTTTCTGGTTCTGGACCACAATATCAAGCAGCATGTCATGGACCCAATCAGGGAGCTCAAGCGCAGCATTCCATCCTCCCCCCACTTCGTGGTTGGTTCCGTCGGATGCCAGAGGGCAGCAATCCCGACATTCCAAGCTTTTCGACAAGCGAGAGGCCTATGACCAAAAGTTCCTATCGTGTCAGGTGCATCCTCGATAATATAATGGTTCCTGACGCGGCCACTGGCCGACTCAACAGGCTCCTTGACGAACTCGAGCGAACAACACAAAACGACCGTGAGTCACGCGATCTATTCACCCCGCGTGTTAGCTCCTTGTTATCCGACCTTTCTGTTTTGGTGCAATGCCAGAATCAACTGAATTGTTTCCAGCCCTGGGCTTCCACTTTCTGTGACGAGGCCAATAACTGCTATCATGACTTACAATACGAACATCAGAAACGCATGCTTTTTGTACCTTTCCTCAATGATAGCATGCTAGAAGCTTCTTTGGCAATCCTGGGAGATCCCTCAGATCATAAATTTCGGTATCCAATCGACAAACGACGGACTCGCGAGACAACGGCCATTCTCCAGGCATCCGAGCATGCCCTAGATGAATTCTGGCACAAAGTTGATAAAGTTACTTTGGGTGAGAAGGACCTACTGCCAGAGGTGCTGATAAAGTTTCTCAAATCAAATCGAGTTTTACACCGCACCCCAAATTGGGTGGAACCCTCAAAGAGCCATTCCAACTCAAGTCAACAACCCAACCTCAAGGATGATACCCGCCCACTATCCGAGACCTATTATGAGCTGCAACAGCACACTGAACAGACCATTAGTCCATCAAAACAACTAGCAAAGAAATCTAAGCCTAAAACACGCGGTGCTAGCAAGACATCCTCAGCTTCACCATACAATCCACCAGATTTGTCCGGGCTTAGTCTTGAGGCGGAAGCCAAACCCACATTCCACGTCAACAAGCGCGCGCTCAAGGTATTTAGGACATTGCTTTCCCAGCCTTCTCGCACTGCCCAACCAGGCGAAGTACCATGGATTGAGTTTTTACATGCTATGGAGAGCCTAGGGTTTGCATCTGAAAAGCTGTATGGTTCAGTCTGGCAATTCACGCCATCGGGTCGTAAACTTGATCGTGGTATTCAGTTCCACGAGCCGCATCCGATTTCGAAGATTCCTTTCCGAATTGCGCGGCGCATGGGTCGTCGTTTGAATCGTGCCTATGGTTGGGAAGGAAATTTGTTTTGCTTGCAAGGCAAATAAGCAGTTTGGAGAGAATTTTGAGCACTCGTTCTCAATTGCATCCGAAGGCGAGACAAGTGATGAATAAAACGAGGATGAAGACTGTTATGCTGACTGTGAATATCTTTATTATGGTTGGAGTAAATTTCATGCTGGCATACGTTTTACCAATTGATAGGATTTGAACTATTTCTTGGCTATGTATTTTGCTTTACAAGGTCAGGTCTTTAGTTTAGTTGCACAATTAATTGTTGAACTGCAAGACTACGTATGATTGCAATTCATATCTTTCACTATATCCACTGAAGTGATATTACTAGGAACTAAAGAAAACATGCTAATATAGCAAAGTTCAGTTATCAGTTTCACTGACGGATCAATGGAAGGATCAACTGCCCGAGGCCAGGTAGTAGCTCTGGCCATTGATCCATTTTGCATTCCTGATCTTCTTCACAGACACAAGCCATTTTTCCTGTCGTTCTGCTGGTTCATGGCATGGTAGCAGTTTACAAGCATAAACCTTGGAATGTAGTATCTATAGATTTTACCCAAGAAGGAGAATATCCAAAAGAATGGTTGAGACAGAAAGACATCATGAAAAACATATGAAACTCTTTTCTGATATCACAAATAAATTGCATATTTAGATTGCTCAAGTTCTGCATACTCACCAAATCCTTTTGTAATCTATACAAAATTTAGGGTGTGAATCAGAGAAGCTAAGGCTTGAGTTACGGAAAATAGTAGATGGCGAATGTATGCCAAAGATCCCTGGTATTACCTATGTGCATCTACTAGGTCGGATTCAAGCAGCATGCTTCATAGCAGAAGATTGCGCTGTGGAAAAATTCTACTTGTTTTGAAAATGCAACATCATACCCCGCACCCAAATGAGGGTCGTATGCCTAGGTGATATACCCCCCCACCGCCTTATCGTAACATTAATCTTTAGTGCGGGGGGTACATTATGAAGCGCGGGGGCACATCTTCATCCCTTGCGCCCGTTCCTCAACTTATAAATTGTGATACCCCTTGCCTCCTACGCAGTCTCTCTAGATTCAAACTCAGGACCATCACCAGCACCTAACTAGCTTTGAGCCTCATTCAGATCAGCGAGTTCAAATTCAAAATGTATTCCCCCAAAGTCGGTGACAGGCTCGATACCCTCGATACACCATCCATGATCGCAGATCTTGATCTCGTCGAGGCCAACATCAAGAAGTTGATGGATAAGCTGTTGCCAACTGGTCTCGACATCCGCCCCCATCTGAAAACAACAAAGAGCGCGATCCTGGCCGATAAGATGGTCAGAGCGGGCGCAAAGGGAGGCTGTGTAGCCAAAGTGAGCGAGGCTGAAGTCATTGCCGCAGCCGGATTCGACGACCTGTTTATTACCTGTGAAATCATCGGCCCTGCAAAAGTCCAAAGGCTGGTGGAACTGTACCGCAAACACCGCAAGATCAGGATAGTTGTCGATAGCGAAGCTGGCGCAACAGCTATTGACGAGGCTTTGGCGGAAGCCGGTATCGACGAACCAATCTCGGTCTTGATTGACCTCGATGTTGGCCTTCATCGCACCGGTGTCCTGCCAGGCGAACCAGCCATGAGCCTAGCACAACATGTGCAGAGTCTGAAGCATTTGAAACTGATTGGGCTGCACGGCTACGAGGGTCATTTGCAACATTTGCATGATAAGGAAGATCGCAAGAGCCAATGCCTACAGTCTATGGAGATTCTCACAAACACTGCGAAAGTTTTAGGGAACGCGGGCTTCAACATCGAGGTGGTCACTACAGGAGGAACTGGAACGGCTGAGTTCTGCGCCACAGTACCTGGTGTCACCGAGCTACAGCCTGGATCGTTTATTTTCATGGATACGGATTACCGAAATGCGGTTGGCACATTCTACTCCAACAGTCTAACAGTTTTGTCAACTGTTCTAAGCAAACAAGGTCCTCGATCGGTTACAATCGACAGCGGATTGAAATCCTTGACGACAGACAGCGGTTTGGCAGAGTGCAAGGACCCGAGCTACACTTATGGTGTTCTCGGCGATGAGCATGGCTCACTCAGTTGGGAGGAGGGTACCCCACCACTTTCGGTTGGAGATCGCGTTGAGATGGTACCAAGTCACATTGACCCTACAGTGAACTTGCATGATTTCTACTACGCCTATCGAGGGGGAGTCATTGAGGAAATATGGCCTGTTGACTCGAGAGGCAAGGTCCAATAGTCACCCAATCAACTTGTGGACCTCTAGGGTTTCCAAAGGCATAGAAGACGTTATAGAACGGTGGCCTTGTAATCGAATATCCTACTATTACAAAGCATCAAAATACATCCATAGAATGGGATTTCATGTCCATCGTCTATGTAACAACATGCAAGTCTCCATGATTGCACCGCCTGCCACTAAAATTTCGCCCTTGATGAATAAAACTCACAAACCAAACGCCTCGGCAATGATCAAAACTTCGAATGCATCAATCCAGGAACACATTAAAAGGAGAAGTGTAGTTGACAACTCAGGGAATCACGAGGCCTGATAGACCTTGAAGCTGCCGAACTCCCAGTATGCAGTGTCGAAACTAGTCGCATTGTCCCGCACAAAGTCCTTGCAGGTTCCAGGACAGCTACTTTGGGTCGTATAGTACTTCTTCGCTCCCGCCCAGTCACCGCACAAAGAGATATTGATGATGATGCTTTGGTTTTTGAAATGAGAACCGATATCACAATCGGTGCTGGGGAAGTCTGCGAATGCTTGGCCCCAGGTGGATGGGTCGGGACTTCCCGACGTGACATCGGCCGGAATTTTGGAGCGAACCCACTGCCATACGCGAATGCCGGCATCACGGAGTTCCATCGCGTAAACCTGCAGGGGTTGGTAGTTAGTAAGTGGGTTTCCATGAAAGAACTATGAACAGTGAGAGACATCGTCACTTACTCCGCCTCCATTCTTGTTGAATTCAGGGCCATAAGTACTCTCAGTGCCTATCACACCACAACCTGAATACTCATTCGCCTCGTAGTAACAGTTGTCGTTGGCGACAGAGCCACTTTCTTTCCGCTTGACACCCATGGTGCAGCCTTTCGATGTGTGAAGCGTGGATTGGGTTCCAAAGGTTCCGGCATTGGTGGCTTCCACGATATCAATTTCTCCATACTCAGGCCAGTTGTTGGGGTCTGTCAGCCACAGGGCTGGCCATGTACCACAGCCGTACGGGGTGTGAATGACATCAAAGATGAAAAGTCCTTCAGAGTACGTCTTGTTAGATGTTACTCGCACAGATTGACGCCCATTTGCAGCTTCCGATCCTTTGTATGTCGTGTCCACCTTGAGCACTGCAGAAGTGTCTGTGGCGGAAGTTAAATTCAGCCATGCAGATGCAGCCCGGTCGATGTACCTGAATTACACGTTAGTTTGGCTTTTTGGTGAGATTTGAGATATAGAAATCGTACTGGACAAATCCATGGGTTGGGTCGGCACCAGTGAAATATTCAAAGTTGTCGAAAAAGGACGATCCCGAATAATTGTCTTTCAAGCTGTACTCCAGTTTCGAGTAATCAGGGTACTGATTTGCTCTCACTCCTAGAACAGCACCGACAATCACTGCCACAATCACCACGACAACACCAAGTGCTAGGAAAATCTTGCTCTTCAAGGACCATCCTCGCGGGTCCCATCTAGAGTATTCATCTGTACCATCTTCACCCCACGCTTCGTGAGCAGGTTGGTATGCACTGGCGGTTGGTTGCTGGTTTTTCGATAGATGAGTCGATTGAAAGCGACCAGGGTCATTTTGAGAATAAGCGTCGCTCATGTCGAAAAATGACGTGTCTAATTGATAGATAAGGTGTAGTTTTCGCCAAGCAACGACAAAACAAGAATCACGCCAGGTCGAATAATTGAAGAACGCAAACCCTGAAAGTAAGGATGAATTCAAATCAACGCAATGCACAATGAGAAGTGATAAAAAAAAGCATGCGATCTACCTTCAACAAAATTTGCTATCTTGGAGGCAGGCCACGCGTTAGATAAGCGGGGCCGTTGGCCGGGGCCCGGACCTCAGAGCTAGGTACGGAGTACGTAGGGCCATGTACAAAGTACGACGAAGTATGCCAGGCTTAATTCTCATTGGGTAGTATCGCCAGGCAGAAATTTAGTCATTCAGCCTCGAAACCTTTTTAACGTTGAAAGGATTAGGGATATCAATGAATGCGACCACAGGCCAATTAATATCCATTATATAAATATCTGGGATGTGGATAGATGACTGAAGAATGTTGACCTTAGCAGCTCCTCACCGCCGTCCTTATGCAACTTCTAGTGATCTTAAATAATTTTATCAGTTCTTTATTGTAATTTCCCCCTTCTCGGTTTTTTAACCACACGATGCTTCGAGAAGTTAGTAATAACACAGTAGGTAATATTACCCAATGAGAATTAAGTCCCCAGTGACATATTTCGTCGCTTGTGTGTCCACTTGGGATGACTTCAGTTATATCCGAGACACGGCAGATCCTTACCCACTGCGGAGTATTCATATTCATTTCGGTGGTTTGTTGACATTCATTCCGATACAAGCTTATGTATTTGTGGGATGTGAATAGACCAATGTCTGCAGTATCCACATATATAGTTGGGCTGGAATTTTATCCAAAAAATACATCCATCGACGAATACGCAGAATCAAGTTGTATTAGCCAATGAGAGCGATGCAAACACTTCAATTTTATGTGCTGCACATCCATAAATGCGCCAAGAGTTAGATAAAAATAGTAACAATTTCGTAGATGTTTGTTATAAATAAGTTGCCATCATGAGGAAAGATTATGAAATTGTGGACGAGAAACCAACCTTGGAATTCCAGATATCACTGTGACAGCACAAGTTACCTAGGCAATCAGAGGCTATTTAGATATATTACTATATCTAGCGATCAAATCTCTCATATCGTTAAGCATCCTGTGGCTAATATCAGCTAGTCTAGTTGTTTAATTCCCAGCTGATGAGGACATAATGCATACTGTTCTCGAAGATTTAAATCTTCAGGGAAGTGGGCTGAGACATGTGTGCGAACATGTGTGTTAAACCGCCTAAACTTTGACTTGAGTGATCTGATAAATATGTGAGACACTGGACAGCATGTTCTAAACGAACAGTTTATAGAGGTCGATGTGACCTCGGTAGTCCTCCACTAGAGATGATATGGGGAAGTGCGGATGACTTCCTTCAGCATGCTCAAATCCAAATCAGTTGCAAACTAGCTCCCATTGTCCAAGCTCGTCTATCAAGGTTGGCTCAAGATTAATAAAGATTATGTGTAAACCAAAGTGTGACAGGCTAACTGTTCTTGTAGACTAAGTACAAAAGTCGAGATGCCGCCAGCCGTGCTAGCCAGCCGTGGATCTTTGGATTTTTCGTGTACATGAGCCGTACCCGAGTGCCAAAATCTCTTCCCAAACTACGAGTCGTATGACTCGCTGCTTCAATTGCGAGGATACGGGGGAGCTGGGCTCTTCACTTTCATAAAACAGATAGGAATGCATATAGTAATCTTGCTCGACAAGATTCTCATGCTAGAGGAGTTACGCATTGGTATTAAGGATTTGCTTGGAACTAGCAGACGGCATTAGAAGATCATCAATAATAACATCCATCGTTTTCATTCTACCCATCTACCGTCAAGAAGCTAGTTATCTAGCAACCTAATAAATTTCAGATAATTATGGTTAGCTCAAAATTCCCTTCTAAATTCCTAAGCGTTAACTTGTCGCTTCAACCGCTGGCTGGAAAGTGCATTATTGTTCTTCGTAGCAGATAAATCTAGTCATTCCTTCTAAATTACTCTATGCACAAACACCCCAAGCAATCCATATCCCTATTTCTTCTCTTGCCACTCCTGTCTTCTTCATATTTCTCTCAGATCATATCTCACTTCACCATTCTTCAACCTAATCTTCTTACAGCCAAACTTTACTTCTATTTCTTTCGCCTCACCCTATCGAATCTACCAGGTACTACTCACCCTCTTCATCCTCATCCTCCTAGTGCGATCTCTGGGAGTTTCAATTCCCATGAGTTCAAAACATGGCTAACTTTCGTACAGCAATGTGTTTATCTCGCGATTCAGTCGCTAGTGATCCAAAGACCACTGCAGCTCTTGGGCCGGTCGGTCCCAACACTTCGAAGCGAGCCGAACACCGACGAGACACATTGGTAGCGCTGCAACAAGTTATCAGGAACATGAGCTTACAACGCAGCCTTGCAGAAAATGATATCATCCTCCAGCGTGCAGTCCTCGATAACCAAATCGCGCGGCTCTCCACCTTGGACAACAGTATCCAGGAACTTCAGAATGTGTGGGAAAATATGGCGGCTGGGTTCGGACTCGATTCGAAGAAATGAACAACTGCTTTGATATTAGATGTTCACGACTTAGTTCTGACACGGCCCTGGTCAGACTCTCCATGGTCAACACGGTCCCACTAGCAATTCAAAAGTATTTTCTCTTCCTGCTTTTCCCTTTAGTCCGTATAGTCCCCGGTTGTTTGCTCTACCTCAAACTTTGCCTCGTAGTTCAGGCTCCCTTCTCGCTCAGTTTATTTACTAGATAGAGTCTATCGTACTTTATTAACGGGATCCTTTGCCTTTCTGCTCTTTGCAACTTCTGTGGATTGAGCTGTAGAAGTTATGTATAAGAGTGTATAATCTTCACAAACCATCTTCTATGAATCTTTCTATTGTGCCTGCTCAGACTCTCCCGCCAATATGTTTCTCAGTCTTTCAAGTAAGAACGAAGTTATTTTTGTGTCATGGGTTTCCCACCCACCCCGACAAGTAGGCTCCTTCTCCTCGCTTCTCTTAGTTGAACCACTCAAGACTTGAAGTAATAGCCGTGTCTGTCATTCCTTCTCCCTTTTTTTCACATTTTTCCTTCGTCTATCTCTTTCTTCTCACATCTGTTCTGCTTACCAGATCAAATTTTTCCTTGCTTTAATCAACAATAGTATCTACCATATAATCGACACATCGGTGCGATCCTTTGACAAGCTGAAAGAAACCGAGTTCTGGAATGAGGCCGACTGCTAGAAAGAAATTTCTTCCGACGAACCACGGTCTAGCACAGTCACCGATGTGCCTAATGTCACGGCAGCTCCTCAGCCAGCTAGCGTGGACTCTTCCGAACTGACACCCAACGCCAAGACGAGATCATCAGGGAAGTGATTCTAGAGTGCAGAGTTATTGAAAATAATACCATTCCTCAGTGTGCAGTGCTCGACGGCCAAATTACGTACCTCTCCGCAGCCCAAAAGCATGTCCAAAGTCTCCAGAACGTGCGCAAGAATATGGCAGTCGTACACGGGCTCGTATCGAAAAAAAAAAAAAAACTATTAGTCCATCAAATCCATCTATAGCAAATGATGAAGGACCCAGGCGTTGGCATTTGTTCGAAGGAATTTGAACTTAATCGTGAATAATAACATCTATATTCATCTCAAGAAGCTATCTAGCAAATACTTCAATTCTTGGTCCTACATAAATACAGTCTGAATCGAAAAATAGGCTCCCCTTTGCCCAGTCATAAATTTCATTCCAAACCATAGTGGGCTTGCTCAGTACCTGCTGCTCCCTCCAACAGTCAAATATCCTGTCTCTCTACCCTTTTTCTCCGGCTTCCTATCTTCTTCCATTTTCTTTCCCTTAGACGTCCATTTTCTAAAGGTTTCATCCTTCTTCAAACTCATCTTCCTCTTATCTCCTTCATCAAACTTCATCATATCTACCGAGGCTCAAGCTTCTTTCATTATTCTCTCGGTATAGCCTGTGATAATATAACCCCAAATGAATTATGAGAAAAGGCTAACCAGTATATAGGAATGCCTTTCCTCAACTCACCGCACGAGTCAGTCGCAAATGAGGCTACAGCCACCGCAGCTTCCGAGTCAGCTATCCCAGACTCTTCTACCCGAACGGGGGCTCAACGCGACGCATTGGCGGGTCTCGACGAAGTCATTCGGAAAATGATACTAGAGCGCAGCGTTGTTCAAACCGATATCATTCAGCAACGTGCGGTTCTCAACAGACAAGTTGCACACCTCTCATCAATCGATGAAAATATCCAAAATCTCCAGGGCGTCTGGGCCAACATGGCGACCGATTTCAGCCTCACATCCAATAAATAAGCGATTGGCTCTTCAGGACCTCTTTCCTTGCTTTTGGAGAGCGATCTCACAACTTGTTTCTTGGGAGTATGGCTAGCTAGCGCTGCCTAGCGCAGTAGCTGGGGTCTATCAATTCGATTTTTCTTGCTTTTCTTCATTTTCTCTATCGTTTGTACAGTGCACAGTTATTTGCTCTACCTATAACTTTGCCTCATATGAACTCAATCGTGAATAATACCATCTATGGCCGGGTTTGACCTATCTGCCAAGAAGCTATTTAGCAATGCGTCACTTCTTGGTCCTACATAGATACAGTTGGAATATAAAAAAGAATTCTCCTTTGTGTGCTCATAGATTTATTCCTAAGCCATAGGTGGCTTGCTCAACGAAATCCCCTCCGACTGCTCTTCACGCCAATAGCCAAACATCCCGCCTTCCTAGCCTTTTTCTCCAGGCTCCCTTCTTCCAGATTCTTTTCCTTTTCACATTTCTTCAAACTCACATTTCTTTTACCTCGTCTCCGTCCTATCTCTTTCACCTACTTTCACAATACCTACCGAGTCTCAGCTTTCTCACCAAATTCTGTCGGTCCATCCTGTGAGAATATAAACGCGAATGAGTTCTGAGACAGAGCTAACTGCTATACATCAATGTCTTCTCCAGAAATACTCCGCGACCTAGTCGCAGGAGAGTCTAATGCTACTGCAACTCCTAGCTCCGCCATCCCGGACTCCTCTCTCCAAAAGAAAGCTCAGCGAGATGCATTAGTGGGCCTTGATGAGGTCATTAGGACAATGATCCTAGAGCGCACCGCCATCCAAAATGATATTATTCAGCAAAGGGCAGTTCTCGACGATCAGCTTGCACGCCTATCCTCGGCAGACGAACATATCCAGAATCTCCAGACCGTGTGGGCCACTATGGCGGCCGGGTTTGGATTCATTTCCAAAAAAAATAAACCACTCACTCGTTAGGGCCCCTTTTTTCACTTCTCATTTTGGATATTCTCAACTTACTTCTGACAGATATCGAATCCGGCTCAAAGTCTCTATGTACTACATAGTGCCTGTCAGATCTGTCTGACTAGCGCCAATGAGCGTCCACGGGTAGTAGTTGGAGTCCAGCAATTCAATTTCTTTAACTTTTCTTCCTAACACCTACAGCTTTGTCTCATATTACAGGCTTTACTGCTGGCTGTCAGTGCCGCCGTATTTATAACCTCCCCCATTTTCTTCACTTTCTCTCTCAGGGGTGTGCTTCTGAACACCGAAATTTATTTCACGCGATATACAAGATCATATAATCTTCAACTACCCTCTGTTAGGTATTTTTCCAATTTCTCAAGGTGGTTTTGGAGGGTGGCTGCAGCGGCAACAGCCAAGTAGGCCTTCTTCCTTTTCTTCTTCTTCGCATTTCCCTTCTCTTCTGTCTCATTCTAATCAACACAACACCTACCTTATCATTAAAATATAAGCGTGTTCCCTGGTAAACTGAAAGCAAATGAGTTCTAGGATATGACTAACCACTATCCAGAAATGTCTTCCAACCAGGAGAACGCCGCAGCAGTTGCAGAACCAGCAAGCACCGAGAGCTTACAACAAGCTGAGGTGAAAGGAGACGCCCTGATAGCCCGCGATGAGGTTATGAGAAACCCAATTTTGGAGCGTGAACACATACAGGCGAACATTTGTGCAGCCCTTGAGAATGACGCCCAGATTGTGCGTCTTCAAATCGTTTGGGACAATTTGGACCCAGGTTTTTGGTTTCGGGGAGATAACTGAAAAGCTGTTGGTTCAAATTGAGCCATGAAGAGACTTCCCATGGTGTGAACTGGATCTTTTGATATTGATATCATTCTACGAGGCTACTTCTTCTTCTGTGGATCACATCGTCACAATTTTTGTATTGGATTCAAAGAGATAAATGTAGTTTAGGCTACATCAAGAGCATTATTCCTGCTGTGAGCGCAGCAAGGCTTCAACTGTCGAAGAAATCATGGAGTGGACTTTAGGTCACAGGGCCCTTAACAAAGAAAAAAGGAGTATTCAAGCATACACAAAGTAGCATCTTACACAAGGCACATCGCTTGCTGATTCAGACTGAACTTGTTTGAAACGTCACGGATGGAGGATTCCACTTGGACCAGCATATCCACTGACCCAAATCTAAACCGAGGCCGTTGACGCTCAAAGGGGCGAAGTAATTTCACTAAATTCAATGCGTTGGTAGTGCACACGTGGAAATAGCCCATCCCCGTCGTTTATTATTGTCCCTACACTTGTAGGGCTAGTTCCAATGTAGTGTCACTACAGCAAATCAAGCTTTGCTCCCCTCAACATTGCCGACCCCGCTACTTATAGTTCATCTCTGCTAAATTTATTTCTTTAATGCTCTGTCCGAGTACCTATATCGTCCCCCTTTCCCGCATCAGACTGCCCGGTATTCACACTCCCTTCAGGCCAAAGAATACAAGCATGGTAAGTATCCGGCATGCCCTCCTCCTTTTCCGCATCAGACCACTCAGTATTCACATTTAGTTCACGCTGTTCGACACCGATATGGGAAGTATCAATTTCTTCCTCGCCCCTTGCGGCATCAAACGGCTCAGTATGAACATGAATTATGTCCTCCCCATTTCCTGCATCAGACTCCACAGCATGCCCATTCTCTCCAAGCTGAGGGGCACCGATACTGGAACTAGCTGCAGCCGAATCTTTCTCAAACATCGAGGAAATGACAGTCTTCCACTCCTTGCCGTAAATAGGCTCAAATAACGATGCTTTGTATGTTTCCTTCTCTTCTGGAGTTTCTTTCTTCATGCTAATATGATTAATTTGTTTGTTTGTTTGTTCAATAATAGTAAGTGGGATGAAGTTCATACAATGACCATCTTAAATTTGCAGAGCGTACATAAAGGACAAGTTTCATGTGCAATTTCTCCTCTTCTGTCAATTTCATTGCACTTTCAACTTCATGCATGATAGGCTTTCTGAAATTGTCAACATACGGGAGCACACATGAAATCGTGGCCAGCTCGAAAAACCGGGGATAGAAGCCAGCGTATGCCCAGTCAAGAAAGCAAATAGATCCATCATTTTGGAGGATAATATTCCTTCGGCAGATGTCACCATGACACAATACAAAAGGGTGGGGTTTCAAGTCGATGGTGTCGTTTCGATACTTCAGGCGACTATTCATATACACATTCAAGTCTTCGACAGATTTAAAGGCCGTTCTGGCGCCGTAATCGCCCCATATGTAACCGATTGGTTCACTTCCGTCGACCGGACCAGGGGTCGGACTTGATTTGTCCCATATGCGTGATTATATTTGCGATTCGGGGTAAAATGTCTTTTCTTGCAGCTAGTTCAACTTCTTCCAAGCTTTGCGCCGGTATATACTCCATAAAAAGGTATCCAAAAGGGTCGTCGGTCTCTGACTCAAAATAACGATAGATTTTTGGAATGCGAACGATATTGCGATCGAGGTTGTTGTAAGCAAATTCTTGCATGGCTGCTTCAGAGGCAAAGACACCGAAGCCAACCTTTGCCACAATATGGTCAGAAAGCTTGACGACTTGATCTCCACCCCATCGCCCCCCCAATCTTTCCCCCTTCATTTCTTGCCTAATGGCAAAGGTCGATCAGCCATTCTTCGCTAGCTGTTGCAATATCCCAGGACATGATCGCAAAATATTGATTGTAGGAATGGATATTGCGACCATGAAAACCTAGGGAGTTAACAGACGGTCAAGGGGTGGTTGAGATATCACGGTGGTAATCGGGCAATCCTTTTCCCGGATTTTTAGCCAGTTGTTTCACCTACAAAATATATCGCAGTGGTCAGAGCCATTTCATCTTTCTATGCACTTCAGCAACCGCCAGGCTTCCTCATTGAACCTAAAACCCGGAATCTTGGTTTAACGATTGGATTTTAATGTTCCCGCCAAATTTAAATTTAGATAGCGGCCTCAGCCTCAACAAGCCCTCCCTTTTAACAGGCCGCCTTCTCAACCGCCAGAATTCCTTTCCGTGCTTATAATCAATCCCTAGCTAAATCCATTGGAAATTAAACGTTTTTATTCCAACACCCACTTTTAAGGGAGGTAAGAATGATATTTCGATTCATCCAGCAAAGCAGTCCGAGCCTCGTCCATGTTCCTCTCGAAGACTTGAAATACCGCCCTTCAACCCCAATGTTTATAGTCTTTTATCTTCATCATTCTTCTTTTTTTTGGGCCTACAAATATACCACAAATTTACTGATCAATTTTGGTTCACACTGCCATTTGCACCATGTCCAGCGCTCGCCTGCCCCGTCCAAACCGTCCAGTCCGTACAACCCGCCAACTCAATCAGGTTAGTCTTCCCGCAACGGAGACAGGTGGATAGTAATCTTTCCAGATTGCCTTCTGGGTATGAAGTGGACCATTTCAAGAAGAAACAGCCTTGGACCGACACAGGATCGCTAACCAACCTTCTTGCTATAGGCTAGTCGTGCAAATACATTCGTCAGTTTAAACGGCGATGCTCCGCCATAAAAAATTATTTGGCGTGTTATATAATATACAAGAACACTCGAGCTTGAAGATTATCGACGACAGTAGTGGGGGTCGAAGAGAAGAGCGGAGAAAAGTTTATTTTGTTCACCAGATTGGGCGGAAAGGTCTTGGCTACCGCGCTTGACAAGCTTGGCATGGGTGGGCGCAACATCAGTCTCGATTCAGTTGAGAGATTTCAGCTTCAATTTCAGCATTTTCACCAGAAGAGCGATTATGTACACTACCGAATTCGAGAGATCGAAGTGACAGGATACGTACGCATGCATGTGCTCGTGGATTAATCTCAAGTTTATCACTCACTCGATTACTATAAGGTTTTCCGGGAATGCTGTTTGATTTTCACTGTTAATTCTTCCTATAGTGATTGGTATCTTGATGAGTTATCATATTCTTGCTTCCTAGTCTCACGATCATTGCTAAACATTCTGCAAACTCACTCATCCTGTCATTGGCGCAATGCATCCATGGTCTCTCGTATTGTTTAAGCTCCTTTGTTGCATAGCCCATTCCAGTCTTTTCTCCGTGATCTCCAAGAAAGAAGATCTATATTACGATACGTTATATGGATTGGCTGAAATGGGATATCCAAGAATCTGATGGCGCTCTGCGCGACAAACATGCACCAGAGATTTCGGAGACATGTATAATGCGACCACTTATGGGTATAATCACCTTGATAATTGATTCAGTAGATATCATCCATGTAGTGGACCATGCTTTTTGGGGATGCGAGAATCTGGCAAGCTGTAAGTTACCTACTCATCTATAATTTTGCTAACAGGCTTACTGATCTCATTTCGCAGCAATATCCAGAAGGGCTCGAGGCAATGCCTGGTATGATTTTTTTCTGTATCTTTACATTAGAGCTTTCATAACAGACTTCTAACATCCTTCCCAGCAATCTAACCAGACAAGGCACTTCATTCAGAATGGAGGCTATGGCGCAAGAAAGAACCAGAAATGGTAGGTAGCCCTAAAGTATCAACTGGCTTACATATGTCGAGATAACGGTGAGTACTTGGAATTCATGCAAAATAGCAGATCCGCATTCACCACCAGTGACACAGAACTCTGCCTTGAGTTATCAAGGGCCCTTTCTAACTCTATGTATAGGAAAGCGTACGTCCTAGTTAATTATGAAATCCGACAGAGTGGTGAGTTCTCAGCCGGACCCCTTCTGGGGAGCTAGAACATGGTGCACAGAATAACACATTGTGATGATTTCAATATATAGCTGACAATCATGCTTGAGTGTTGAACCACTTCGTGGATTCACAATATTGGGAATAGTGAGACACGGACTAATGGCCCGATATATTAGGGTGTGAGACCAACCCCCGTCTACATAGTCAGTGATATTTATCTAGGGAACTTGTATGAGTTGACGTATTTTTTTTGGATAATTTTAATTTTGATAGATTGATTGATTGACCATCACCGCACTCTATCCCCTTTCTATATGTTAGACGAGTCATATTTACTACTTTCGCCATAGCCTCTCGTTTCCCTCTACTTAGCCCCGGCCCTCACCAGATCCCCAAATCTCGTCTCCGCCTGTCCAGCCAGCACCACAGGATTCCCAACTTCTACAACCTCTCCCGTATCCATAACAACAACCCTATCAAAATCCATAATCATATCCAACCGATGGCTAACTGCTATAACCGTGTAGTCCTTGAACTCCACCCTAATAATCTCCTGCATGACACGTTCCGTTTCTCGGTCAACACTCGAGCTCACCTCATCCAACAACAATATACCGTAGTCCGAGCCATTTCGTGCCCGGATAAACCGCCTCAGCAGTGCACGCCCAAGTGACATGAGTTGCCGTTGTCCAGCGCTGAGTGTCCCTGGACTCATGCCTGCCTCTAATCCACCCCGCTCCTGTACGAACTTCCACAGGTCCACGGCGGTAAGCACAACTTGACATTCCTCGGGCGTTGAGACGTCAGACGGGTCCAGGTTCGCTCGGAAGGTGGATCCATCTGGTAGGAACACAGCTTCCTGGGGTACTGCGATTATACGCTCACGGAGGGCAGCCCGGTTTATGCGATAGAGCGGTATTTTATCAACCATTGCGTTTTCGGCCGTCTCGGAGATTGGATCTAGGATCTTGAGGAGTAGGGCGATGAGGCTAGACTTGCCGCTGCCGGTACGACCGCAGATAGCGACTTTCTCGCCTCTGTTGATGGTGAGGTGGATGTTGTGGAGGGCCAACTTAGACGTTCTATCCACTTGATCTTCTTCACTATTTGGAACATTAGTACATTGTGTAGTTGGCATGGCATCTATGAAAATGTATTCCTCTTACCCGTAACTTGCGGATACGCCCTTCAATTCCACCACACCATTTTGAGGCCACTGTGCAGGGGGAACAATGTTCTCTTCGTCTTTATCCTCAGGCTTAACATTCTCGCTGAACGCCTTGAGACGGGCGATCGCTCCAATAGACGTTTCTAACTTTGTGTAGAATATGACGATGCTTGAAATGTTCTCCCCGAAGCTCATGAGAGAGAACAAGGAGGCACCAGCGAAAGCAGAGTTGGAGTGAAGCCGAACGGCAAGAGTCGTCATAGCCACTGCTATTACCATGACTACGAGGTCGAGAACGAGGGTCAGCCACTGTTGAATCATGACGAGTAGATACGCGGGTCGTTGACTAGCATCAATTAGGTGGCTATTCTTTTCGACATCGTTGGGAAGGAAACCTGTATATGTGTAGTGTCAGCGATGCTCGTGTCATAGCCCGGGGTTTTTCAAGATGTCTTATCAGGCTTGCGTTCAGTTCAGTGTTGGTTTTCATTTCATATATCACTCACCGAAAGCTCTCAGAGTTGTAATGCCCTTAACAGTATCTAGGAAATGTGTGCTAAGCGAATATTGATCAGTAAAGAATAGCGGTCTCCCGTTATATGGCGGTAGGTAGTTGTAGACTTACTACAAGGGACTTTTAGCCTCCAAGTCTAGCAACCTCAGCTGCCTGGAAGTCCGAAGGTAGAACCTTTGCAAAATATACAGTAGTGCGACGAGGAACGGGTAGCTTATGGCCAAGTACACAGAAGATGTGAGCATAACTCCCGCTTGTCCGAGTGCTTGAAAGACCTGCGATATTTGTCAGACAATTGTTAGGATTTTGAGGCCTCTCTAGATGCGGGTAGCAGTCACAGCTGAGTTTCAATTGATATAATTGCAAAAGACTTACTGAAAAGATAGTGTTCAGAGTTGCACTTGGCAGCTCTGTGTCTATGAGATTGAGATCTTGCGAGAACAGGTTTGTGACGACGCCAGTATCCGTATTGGTGAAGAAGTATAGTGGAGCTTGAAGAAGTGTTTGTAAGGCGTCTTGGTGAAGACTAGCACCAGCCCTCCTCACGGAGACGACTAAGAGGGAGATGCCGAGGAGAAGGAGCGAGATTAAGGCGCATACTTGAAGCAAAGCATATATCCCGGCGTAGTAAGCGTAAGGGTGAGTTGGGCGCTCTGAGTAGATGTCATCGGTCCAGTATGTAAGCCCTGGGATATTTGCCATTAGTTAACATTTCGAATTTTAGGATATGCTGCTTTTCTCTTCGTTGAAAGACTAGGACGGTCGTGCACGATTATATTGTCTGGGGGCAGAGCCGACTCACAGATTGTTGGAAAGTTCGTGAAAAATCCCCAAAGAACACCAAAAAACAAACTGCATCCTGCCAGAAACCATCCCATGCTCTTGAAGTAATGCTTGTATACTGATTTATCGCCAATTTGCCGCGATGCATCCCCATCGGGTGTAGTGGATGATGATGTATTGGTCACCGTTGTGTGAAGCATTTCCGGCTTCGAGTCCCGTACGCTCTTCTTTGAAGTCATTTTCTCGGTAGGAATAGCGTTATCGGAGGATCCCTTCAACCCCAGACGTTGAATATATCCTTGGCTAGCCATCAGGTTTTGAAAGCTCCCTTGTTCGACAATAGTGCCGTTGCCAAGTGCTATTACATGATCCGCCGCTGGGAGGTGCCTGATGCTGTGGGTGCACAAGACGACCGTGGAGCCGCGTCGCTTGAGTAAGCCATCTGGCCCGAAAACTTGTTGGAAGACCTGCTCCTCAGTGTCCGCATCTAAACCACTAAAGATGTCGTCTAGCACTAGCAGATCCGAGTACAGATATAGAGCTCGCGCAAGCGAAACCCGTTGTTTTTGGCCTCCGGATAAGACGATTCCATCTGAACCGACGTTTGTTTGGTCTCCTTGGGGTAGTGTGGCAAAGTCAAAGCTTAGAGAGGTAGCCTGAATGACTTCAGTATACCTCTCGTTGTTAAATGGAGAAAATCCCACAATATTGTCTCTAATCGACCCATTCGAGAGGAATGCTGTTTGGTCGCAGAATCCAATATGTGGAAATCTAGTGTCTAAAACCACGCTGCCTCCACTAAAAGGGATTTCGCCAAGTATTGTTTTACATAGCGTGGTTTTCCCAGAACCAATAGGTCCGACAACAATAGTGAGTGATGACTTGGGTACTCGAGTACTAACATTCCTCAAGACCAAATTCTCTGCTTCCCAACCAAAATTTCCGCTCTTGATCACGACAGCATGGGCTGACTCTAGTTCAGAATTGGATAAAGATCCGGCTTCCGCTCGGTTCTTTTCAGCATTTCGTCTGATATCATCAAGAACTTGGCGAAAATCCTGGTGAGTCTCACACTCTAGGAAGGCCTGGATTCGGCCTAAACACGCCACTCCAGAGACAAGCTGGGGGACAGATTGAAAGACTACCGACAACGGGTTGGTCAGGAGTGTCAGGAAAGAAAGACTGGTGAACATCCTCGAGGCATCGAATTTTGTTTGAGTGAATGCGAATGCTAACGGCGGGCTCACCAGTAGTGGGATAAAACCCAAAAGTGCCGCGATAATGCTAATTTTGCGGAATCGGCCTCCAGCCACTAGCTCGTCCACGCGGAGCTTCTGGACAAAGTTGCCCATAGCAATAGAGAGGCCAGAAATCTTCAAGTTCTTCATACTCGCAATGACTGTGGCCGTCAGACCCACCCGCTTCTGGACGCCTGCCATCCAGGACCTCTGCGAATCCCCAGTGAAATTTATCAAAATCCCTAAGCCGAGGAAGCAGACTATAACAATTCCCATCGGTGCGACAAACACAACACCAATTCGGTTATACAACATCCACCCAGCAAGAGCTGCTTGGAGTATACTCGCCCAGACCTCATGCAGACTTCTGAGACCCAGATTGATTCGCTCCATGTCTGTGCTCATTAAAGTCAATGCGGAGCTGTCATCGCCAGTTCCAATACGAGCTTTCGTGGCTTTGATGAAAATTTCTCTCACTAGTATTGACCTAGTCATAGTGCGCATTCGGTTGTGGAAGTACCTGTTCTCATGTATCAGCAGCGCACCTTGTCATAATTATTCCATGGATTTTACTATACCAGTAAAATGCCATTGATATAGCAAGTCCTGAGTAGATAAATATGCTAGCACCGATAAAGCCATATCCCACGTTCTCGTCGAGTTCAGACTGGGATAGGTAATCCAACAGCTTTTCAAGGAAAAACGGTTGGCAAAATGTGAAAGCAAGAACTGCCAGCCGTGGAGGTATGGGAAGTAGAAGAGAAACCCTCAGTGTGCGCATAAGCACCTTCACCAGACCAAATTTGCCACCCAATTTAGAGTAATCCATATGCCCCAAAAACTCATCGTGAAGCGACCTAGCGTTGAAGGAGCTATCTAGAGGGTAAAGGTCCCCAATGTTCAATATTTTGTTGTAGCCAGTCAGGAACATCTTGTTGAGCCAGAAGAAAACTCCTAAGGAGAAGATTCCACTCGTCTCCTCGGGACTATGCTTCTTCTCATCCCAGCCCACCCATCTGGATTTTTGTTGGGCTTCTAAGAGCAATATTCCAGTCTTAAGAGCTATAGCAGCAACAAACATGCTACTGTAGGTAACTTCAGACTTGTCATCTGATGAGAGAAACAATGTTCTTGCCTGAGCCACGTCCAGAAAAAGAGTCAAGAACAAGTAGCTGCTCAGTAGTACAGACGGCCTTGGGCTTCTGCTGTGATCAACAACACTCAGAGTGATCATGAGTAGGGCTGACACAAGGTTGAGGACTGAGGAAGCTATGAACACGTTGGTCACATGGAAGGACCCAGCTGCAACTAAGATGAGGAGTGATAGCTGAAGTCCAACATAGGTTGTGATAGCGCCCTGCACCAGGTTTGTCAGCACGTTGAGGCTAAGGTTTAGATCCATCTACTAAGAAAAGAAGCATACCAATTTTATCAATTGGAAAACCGGAGCATTCACCACAGTGGGCTTCCGTGCCTGGGAAAGTGTCCGCCATAACGATGTTACGATGAACAAAGCGGACGGAATGATAGAGAAGAACAACTGCTCGAATTGTATGTTGAAGTCAAAATCTTCTTGGTTCATCCGCAGCAAGTTCTCTTCTCCGGTGGTAAAAGGCATTGTAGACGCCTAAACAGGTTGCTTTCAACGCAAGCTTGTTTCGTTGCCACAGGAGGCCGTGTCTCCGTTCTGTGCCTTTAGGAGTACACCCTGAAAGATAAAATGGAAGGGAAAGAAAAGGGGGGCCGAGCTCGCAGGGTAGCAGGGTAAAGGTCGCAGGGTAAATGAAACTAGTATTTACTAGTACGGTTAGGTATGTTATGTATTTTTTACCAGTATGGTACTACGTTACTATTTACCGGTTTCGGAGCTCGCAGGGTTGCAGGGTAAAAAATAACCAGGATAGGGAGGAAGGATAGGAAGCATGGGGATATATTAATATAGCATATATTATACCAGATAAGGCTTTTTTACGAGATAGGTATTTACCTATTAGATTTACCCTGCGACCTTTAGAAGGGTTGTTACTAACTTCTGTAGATGGTTACTGGCTCCTACTAGTTATTACCTATATAGTTCTAGGTTAAATCTAATAGGGAATAGTAGTGTGTGGTACTAGTATATACTATTAGGGGTTTAATTACATAAATAATATAACTGGTAGGAGCCGGAAGGATCTAATTCCTACTGGTTTTAGTAAGTAGATATAGGTGTTTATATAATCAATAATATATCTTATCTTATCAATCAGTGATCCCAGTTCTTACTGGTTTATATAATTGGTCACGTGACTATCAACCAATCAGAAGCGAAGAAATTTCAGTATAAATACCCTATCCCCCCCACTATTCCTGTTTTTTTTCTCTTTCCTTCTCTTCCTCCCTATCATTCACTATAAGCTACCAGGTCAGTTTTACCTTCCAAATTCCTGTTTTTACTTGTTATTTCCCAGTTGTTTATAGGAAACTTCGTCTACCTTTGATTATAACCTTAAAATTCCGGGTCCCACTAGTTGTGGGTCCGGTATAACGTGGTTATAGGGTAGTGCAGGAGCGTACAGTAGCGCGAACCTTACTTATTATATCTTACTGGATATTTATAGTTTTTACTGGTATACTGATATTTATCGTTTACTTCTAGTTTCGTCTGCTCCGCTCACGGTATCTCTGGTAGCCTTTAGGCGCGCCAAGATACCTCCGAAACGTCAGTAAGCCGCGCTTAGTGAATCTGGTAAAAACTAGGATAACCCGATTGATCTACCTCAAGCCAATACCCGAGCTAGGGGTTCCGCAAAACGTAAGGCTTCCCCGAAGGCACCAGCTGAACGCAGAAAGCGTGGGGATAATTCTGGTAAAAACCAGATAACCCGATCTCCTACCACTGTTCGCTAAGACGAGGACCCTACTGGTAGCTCCTAATCGCGCTCCGAATCTATCCCGTTCGAACCAATTAACCCCGATTGGCCTGATAGTGATACCTAGTTTAGCACTCGGCAGGAGGAACCGGATCACTGGGTGTAAGTTTTTACTAGTATCTTCAATAGTTACTATTATAATAAGTACTAACTGGTTATTACTAGTCCTACCCAGAAGAAGATCTGTGACTGTACCAGTTGCAAAGAACAGGCGTGGCCTTTCGACTATACTATTATTGTAAGTTCTACAAACTCCTAGTTTTTGATTGGTTCTAACTGATTCTTACTAGGAAATTCCGAAATGTGTAAAGCAGTGCCTATACTGCGATTACGAGGTGTAAGTGTATTTCTAACTACTATAGTCTATTTCGATACTTACTAGTTTACTTCTAGTAAATCTGGTGGTGGTGCTACCCTCCGCAAGTATATCAAGAACTATATAGTAACTATCAATCTCTATTTTAACTATTACCAATATACTCTTAATATAGTCTATTATTTACTAGTACTAACTATTATTTAGCAGAAGGATTCTCTCCGCCACTATTCAGCCCAGATTTATATTGGCCTTCTTGTCTCTGATAGTAGCTCTGGTCGTGCTAAGACGTATATAGAACAATCCAGTTTATATCTATACACTACTAATACTGACTGGTAATAGATCGAGTGTTAAGATTTCCTCGACCCGACCTAGCCGCGCCGGTACCTAGGTAGTTTCGAGTAGCTCTAAGGGAGCTACTAGATCTACCCACTGTATAACTAGTTCTACCCGGGTTACTTCTAGTACGCCACGTGGTTCGTCTAGATCTAATCGAGTCGCTACTGGAAGAAACCGAGAATCTACCTCACCTAAACAAGAAGCTAACGATAATATCGCTGCGCTCTTTTCTGACCGGGAGACTCCAGTTACTCCTAGATCGGGTAAGAGCTCTCCGGGCGGAACTCCTACCCCCCAGCCCCACCCGAATACCAGCCGGAAGCAACCAGTTAAAAGCGTTATTGAACTAGGCGCGGACGAGGAGGTTCCAGATAGGGAATAGGGTATTATCGGATTTTTTACGGTTCGTTAGTGGCTACTAGTAGCTACTAGATAAGGGATATAGTAGCTATTTCGTCTTAGTAATTACCAGACTTGATTAGCTTAAGCTTTACCCCTAAACAGATAGTATCAATCAGAATTTTCTAGTTTCAAAATAATTATTAAAATAATAGTAATAATAATATAATCTCTATAGATACTACCCTTACTACCCTTACTATAGTAAAATCGATAGATAACTAATAATTAGACCTTGCCAACTCCCATGGACCCACTCCCATGAGAAAGTCTTGGCGGTCAAAATTAATGCCAAGCCCGACTATCACTGCCTATTTAGGTAATATAATTCCCTAAATAGGCTTAGCCTAGTCCCATGGGAGTGATTTTACTCCCATGGGACCAGGATATGGGACCAAAATTTTCTTAGTCCCATGGGAGTTGGCAAGGTCTACTAATAATATAAGGCTCTACTAGTAGATTATAATCTCTCTATCTATTAGTATCAGCTAGTATATACTTATCTAGCGGTAGCGGCTAGTATATACTAGTCGATACTGGATTATAATTCAGTCACGTGACCACTATATAAGTTATATAACTGTTTTTATCTATAAATACCCCTACCCCCCCCCCCCCCCCCCCCCTTTTTAATCTCTTTTTCTTTCCCTCTCTTCTAAATCAAACACTAGGTATATATCGGTAACTAGTTATTACTAGTTCCTTCTAATAGATCCTAACAACCAGTTATAACTAGGTCCTTATCGTTATGAACATTCTCTATCAGTAATACTTCGTTCTATCTAGTATATCAGTATACCACCAGAAAGAACCCCCCGGTCGAGTGTCCTACTGGTACCAACAAGGGTCCAGTCCGGTTTAGCCCGAAAAATCCTCAATATCTATCGGGCCCGAACTGGTATTCCACACGAGCAATTGGTCCTACGAATTGGGTGTATATTAACTAGTTTAATCTGGGCTTATTTACGAGTATTCTAATACTAACTATTTATTACTAGTAACGAACCTAAAAAGATTTGTGAATATATAACCTGTGAAGAACTGGAATAGCTATACGATCATACGATTGTGGTAAGTATAGGGTTACTATAATATTCGGGTCTTACGGGTTCTAATTAGTATATACTAGAACATCCCGAAGTGCGCAGTCGAATATCTATATTGCAATTACCAGGTTACCTCAGCCGGATCAGGTACTGCAACCATCCGAAAGTATATCAAGAACTATTTAGTATTTACCGAGTTTTGCCAATCACTCCTATATAGCCTATACTTACCGGTATATTCTAGGTTCACGACGCAAAGCTTCCGGGTGCGGAGCGTCGGTACCTTCGGCTTAAAATCGCTAGTGGGACCTCTGGAAGAGGCGTATAGTATATAGTTACTACTAAACTTTACTGGATTCCTTATTGTTTCTATTATACTAACTAGTTATACTTAGTATCCAAACCCCCCAAACGAACCAACGTCCTTCTAGTGCTGGTAGTAATAGACATTCTCAAACCAGTCACTATCAGTCTCCGCCGCCTAGCAGCAACCAGTCTAATTAAGTGATTACTGGCTCAGGGTTAACAACTGGAGCTTCTGGTCACTCCTAGGATAACCACCCCAGTTCTAGCAGCTCCCAGTCAAAGCTACCCTCTTCCAGCAGTTCCCAGCCAAAGCCACCTCTTCTAGTAGCTCCCAGCCAAAGCCACCCTCTTCTAGTAGCTCCCAGCCAAAGCCACCCTCTTCTAGTAGCTCCCAGCCACCAGCTACTAGCAGTTCTCAGTCAAAGCTATCCTCTTCTAACAGCTCCTAGCCGAATCCACCAGCTACTAGTAGCTCCCAGTCAAAGCCACTAGCTGGAAGTCGGAAATACGGTTCTACCACTTCTTTTCTACCGGATACTAGCAGTTCCCTAGTATCTCTAATTCCTCCTACTCGCTCCTGCAACCGTTTATCTACCAGTCCGACGCGTTTCCGACTGAGCCAGCCGCTCTCTACTATCTAAACTAGTGAGGACCAGGATAAGGCTGGTAGCCGCGAGCCTTCAACTGGTACTTCTAGTACTACTAGTAGTACCAGAAGTCGCGTCCGGAAACTAGATAAATCCTACCAAGACCTTGACGCACGCGTTAAGAATATTGAGAGGCTTTTTAAGTAGTTTGAGTATCTCTCTTACTACTAGCAACTAGATCTACCTAGTTGCTACCTATTGTTTTGCGGTTTTTTCTTTTTCGTTATTAGTTATTACTATTCTAGGGATATAACCCCTATATACTTCTAGTATCTACTAGATTATATTAGGTATCCACTATTTAGTCTTAGTCTTTACCAGACTAGATTTGCTAACGTCTTTCCCCTACACTAGTTTTCGTTACTCCTTTTTTTTAGTTTTTAATTCAAGAGCTTAATTTTCTACTATTACCTTTTTACTAGTCTATTTCCTAGGTAATTTATAGTTTATATTAATAAATTCTAGTATAGGTATATTTTTACTACTTATACTATCCTTACTACTTATACTATCCTTACTACTTATATTATAAAGAAAATTCGAACTATAAATACACCCTAGTATCTCTCCTATTCCTCCTATACCTCCCCTCCTTTCTATTTTCTTATAGAAGATTGTATTGAAACCTTAATCTAGTTTTTACTAGTCTCTACTAATTCCGTTTTGTTCTCTTCTGCCTTTACTATAGCTAATACTAGGTGGCTTCCGGCCTACTCTGGTTAGGACACATTTGATCGGATAGGAGATAATATAGAACAATATAATGTAAGGGCTATCCCTACTATCCCTACCGTCCCTACCATCCCTACTATCCCTACTAATTAGCCTTTACTTCTAGGAGCTACTAGACATTTGTGGGAGCTATCTAGAAGAATCTAATTATACTAGTTTGCAAACCAGTGAGCAACCTACTCACTACCAGGTCTCAGACACAAATATCTACAACAACCTATCTTCAGTCGTTTCTATAGTATATACCCGGTTCTTACCGGTGTATCCTAGTTCTGATCCTAAAGGAGTTAGATACTGTATCGATATATCCAGGATATTAAAGGAAGAGCTTCGGTGTCTTCTTAGACCGGTATAGTTCTATATCTTACTATTACCTTCTAGTCCTTACTAAAAGCTACTAGCTTCAATACGGTCACGCCGCTCGGGCTACTGATACTTCTAAGCGCTATTCGTTTATAACCAGTCCCTTCCTCAACGGTTACCGCGCTCAGATTCGAAAATAGAGATATTCCGGTATCCTAGTTTACCCCTCTCTGGATCAAACTATCCGTAACTCTACCTATTCTAGTGTCTTACCGTTAGATCTAGAAAGGTTTGAGGATATCCGGTTAGATCTAGAATCAAACCGGGTTGGGACGGATATCGAAACAGCAGCTCGTACCCGGACTATAGAATTTTACCAGGATATTCTACGTCAAAAGGAGAATCATCCGAATTGTAAGGTAAACTGTCTCCGAAGTGGCTTTACCTTGCGTACCCACCGGGAGCTTAAGGTAAGTATCGATTCTATCCTAGATACTACTATTTCTTTCTAATATACTCTAGAATACCTACTGGCTCCAGTGTGACTATTCGTATCCAGGATACTCCTAGTCCCACTTTTCCTACCTACTTCGTAGCCACTACAATATCAATATCCCAGTTCTTCGAGAGATTCTCGATAACCATAGTAGCTTCCAAGCGCTTCCAGAATTCTTAAGTCGGCTATACACTACCTTCTATAGCCCACAGAGTCGGCGAAAGCAGTGTGGTATAGTACTATCTATTTCTAACTGGATAATAATAATAGTTACTAATAGTATCTAGTTATTTATAGGAGCAATAGTACTCTTCAAAACCAACTATATTCTGTGACTTTTATCCAGATTACCCCGGTTAACCTAGAGGAGTATCCCTGGGTTCTTTTTTTGAGCTATAGTGTTTATAGTTATACACCACCCCCGCCTAGTAAGACACCAGCTGAGATCCAGAAGGATCTATTGCAGATAGTTCAGAACTGTAGGCCGGGGGTAATAACTGGTAACTTAATAATCCTTCTTAATATCTTATAACTACTAATACCTTCTATTATAGGCGAGTTTCTACGGAGCGGAGAACTGCAGCGATAGCTAGACGACCTACGTGTTTCTAGTATTGACCGGGTACACCCATCCCTAGCTAACCTAAGTGTTCTACGTACCGCTATTCGTCGCTAGCGGCTACTAGAAAGCCCTCTGGGTGAGGCTCTAGAAGGTATTTATATCTACTAGATCTTACTACCCTCACTAATTTCTTACTAATAAGCTTATATTTTTAGCGGTTACTTACCGGATACTTATAAAGGACAAGAAGGATCCTAGTTCTGCCTATATCCAGGAGGTATAGAGCGACGGTAGTAATATACGTATAATCTGCTTCACAAAGGAGTAAGCAGAGTGCTGGGATCGTACCAGATTCTTCCAGATAGATCTAAGCGGTAAACGCCTTACCGATAAGATCTATAAGGTTGTGTTTGTGACTAAGGACGACTCTACCCAATATAGTAGGTTCTATATCCTACTGGTTACTTTCTATTATTTACTGATTCCCCTTAGCAATTATCCTCGCTAGAGTCTTCGTGAACACAAATACTACCACAATATACTTTAAGCTGTTCCGAGCGC